TGAGAAGAGACCAGGTTCTGGGAGAGGCCCCCTTCCTCTCACCTTCAGTCCCCATGGAGTCAAAGGACTGAATCAACTTGAAGGACCATGGCTTCTGGTCAGAAGCCTCCTCACTGGCCTGCCCAGAGGTTGGAAGACAATGACATCCCACCAGAAGGCTTTAAGCTGCCCACTTGCCCAACACCCACCTCTAACCTTCTGACCTTCTAGTATCTTCTCACTGATGCTGAAAGTTCAGAGAAAATGAAGCTATTTATTCCAGGGGGAGAAAAGATAACATTTGAACTGTGACATGAGTGACGAAGAGCCTTCTCTCAGAAAGGTTCTTAGGGTTGCATGGATGGAGAGGAACATGTCTCCAGTATCTGTTTAATAAAGATTAGGCTAGACCCAAAAGTAACAGATCAATGTAATGCTCTCATTTTACACTTGGGAAAACTGAGGCCCAGAGAGGAAAGGGATTTACATAAGGTTGCACACAGTAGGAGGCCCTCTAGACAGGGTATAGAGGCCGATCCTTCTTTGGTCTTGCTGGTGAACTCGTACCTCAAGTGGGTCTTGCAGGAAGCCAGTGGCAGCTTCCCCAAAGGTCTTTGAGAGCAAGAGAGTGCTTTGCTTAGGCCCAAATGCCTCCCTTGCCTCAGGGCCTACCCCGCTCCCTACCTCCAAAACCGGGGGCCTCCTCCTACCTGTTCTTTGATGAGGTGATTGGAGGGCAGAACAGGTAACCTCATGAGAGTTACACATAGTCAGGGATAGGGTGGAGAAGGTTCTGCTTAAGGCAATACACTAAGGACTACGGGTAGGTGTAGGGAGCCGTGGGCCAGGCCTGCATTTAATAGGTGAAAAAACAGAGGCTCATAAAAGGACGGTGACTTGCCCATGATGTCACAGCCAATAAAAGCTAGGAGCTAGGATTTGAACCTGAGTCCAAGTAAGAGTCAAAATCCCTAATACACCTCACACTGTCCACTCTGGGCCAAGATACTTGGGCTCATCCAGTTGGCTGGGGACTATTACAGGAGGCCCAAGATCTTTGGGAAGTTCATCTGAGCTGCTTTGAGCATCAATTCCCTCACCTCCCAGGCAATTAAGGAAGATCATGTACATCAAATGACAGTTATAGGGTAGGGCATGCAATATACCTTCAGTGAATGTGGCTCACCTGTTTGTGCCTTCCTGGTAGCATCAGATGGGACCTTTGGGCCCAAGACCAGCAGCTGGCAGTGGATATAAACCTGTGGTGGGGACATAGATCTAGGCTGAGCAATCTTCAGAGGATGGGGTGTACAGGGACCTAGAGCCTGGGGGCGCCTGCTTGCACTCACATCATCAGGAGTATCACTAACGCTGAAGGCCTCGAAGAAGAGTGCCAGTCTCTTGGGGACATCTCAGGGCAGGAAGTGGAAATGGACTTCCTTGCCATCAACCAGGCACCTGCAAGGCCCAGGCCAGGAGGTTAGCAGAGAACAACTCTGGACTGGAGTCTGGTCCCGGACTGCTTCAGCACCCCCGCACGCCACCATTTGTAGAGAATTCTGCACATCAGGCACTGAGCTAAATGTTGTCCCATTCACTTTATACAACAGTGCTGTGAATATTCTAACCCTTAAAAAAAAAAAGATTCTAACACTATCCCCTCTTCACGAAAAGAGCTCCAGAGGTCAAGAGGCCAATAAAGAGTTCTTAATCCTTGACCTAGAGAAGACCACACAAAACACAAAACTCCTAAAGGGGAGCATCTGTCCTTTCTGTCCCTGGAAAGGTGTCCTGCCTTCCCAGAGACACCACCTGACCTCCTCCCCTCGGTCCAGTACCCATGGTATTTGATGAGGCTGTAGTGCACAGAGGCCAATTCCAGATCCTGGCTCATCCACATGTATCTGTAAGGGCTGATGGGAACTTCCAACCACAAAAAAAATCCCCCATGGAGATCAGAGCCCAGGAAAATGGTGCCAGTATTGGCAAGGTCTGGAGCCACCAGCATGGCCTCATCCTGGGCTGTAGAGAAAACCAGATGGGGATGACACAAGACCAAGACACTCAAGGGCACACAGCAAGAGGAGAATGCAGGCAAAGCCAGGGCCAGCCCACTTGAAGCCCAGTGCCCTTCCAACCCTGTCACCTTGCCCTTCCTCTCCTCCTGCTCTCACCAGAACTGGAGGCACTGGAATCCGAGCTGGGGGCCCTTCCCCTTGGATTATTGCCTCTGCTCAGTTGATGTCCCTGATCTGTAGCAAGATATAGACCAGGCCAAAGTTGCATGTTGACGTCCCAGACGTCCAACCCCAGCCAGGGAGCTCAGGGTGTCAAGGGGACTTCCGGGCTGGCAGAGAAGCAAGTAAGGGTTAATATGAGTCTGACACGTGAGGGGGCCCTGAAAACCAATACCAAAGGCCCATGACAAGTCCCTTGGGGCAGCCCAGGCAGGCATGGGGACAGGAGAGGAGGGGCCAGGACAATCCAGAGATTCCAAATTCAGGCTCCCAGGTGAGCACACCCAGCTCTGCCTCCGGCTCACATCACGGGGCTCAGAGGTCAGTGCCTGCTTTCCCATTTGCTAGAGGGGCAGTCCCCACCCAGCCCTCCATTCCCCATCCTGCAGGACCTCCAGGCGTCAGGGCCCAAGACAGGCTCAGGGATGCCGGGCAATGCTCACTGCCTGGCCGTACGGCTGACTCAGTGGCAGAAGATGGCAATGGGGGGCTGCTCAGAGCCTCTAGGTGGGGTTGCACAGACACTGTCCGCAAAGAATTCCACCATCTTCCCTGAGATCTGGGGAACGCCAGCTTCTTAAGATGGTGCAAGAAGCCAAGACGGGTACATCCTTAGCATGGCCCCCACTGGATTGTTACTGGCTTTTTCTGAGCCTCAGTTTCATGTGTAGTCCTGTTCAAGGTCCCTGTCTTGCTCAAAAACCTGTTTTGCTTTGGAGAATACTCTGTCTTGCCACTGGAGGTAGACAGCGGGGTGTTCCCTTCTGTGAACCTCAGTTTCCTTATCTAGAAAATGGGGATGTTAGTTCAACCTCCTCATGGGACTTGAGGTTGCAAGGCACAATGCAAGTGGAGGGCACGTAAACACAGATGATGGTGAGCGTGCAACACACTCTTGCCTACCCAATTCTATAGCAATCTGCTTTCTTTAGAGAAAGAAACTGAAATTCAGAGAGGCTATGACTTGCCCAAGCCCACAGAGTCAGTATGATGATTTTATCCCTTTCTCCGATCTGGACACCCCAGCTGTGCCCCACTTCCCCCAGAATCTCCCAGGTACCCCCAGCTCCTGGCACCCTTAACTGATGAGACTCACCAGCTGGATAAACCCACAAGCTTTGAAGGGGGCAACAAAAACCACCTATTAGGGCAGGGCAGGGACTAATGAGGGTGTGTAAGGTGCCAAGGTGCAGGTGCAGGGCTTCGGGATGGGGGTGCCTCCTCACTGCCAGGAAGATGCTCATCTGATTACATTCCTGCAGGAGACTGTCCCCTGGCCTTGTGGCCCACACTGGCACAGACAAAAGTGGCTTCAGTGAGGAACTGTCCAAAATCTCCCCTCATGTGCTCCCCCAATCAACCACTGCATCTCCCCAGTGGAGCAGGGAGTGGGGTAAGGTGTGTGTGTTTGGGGGCAGGTGGGGGAAGTCTCTCCCTGCCACAGACAAGCTGACCAGATACCTTATTCCAACCGGCCTGGCCTGAGAATGCCTGCCAGCTCCTGGTGTGAGCACCTGCAGGTGCTAGGCACCTGCACGCTTGCACCCCAGTGGTTCTTTACAGAGCAGGGCCACCCATGGGGCAGCCAAGGCTGGAGGGGGCCCAGAGTAGGGCAGAGCTGAGGGGTAACAGAAGAAGGGGTTGGCTCTAAAGGAAACTCAGGATTGGCCAAGAGGAAAGGATTTCCAGCGGACGAATGTGGGGGTCGGAGGGGCTCTGAGGGCAGGTGTTGGGGAGGTACACAAGGCTGGGAGCTTAGACTGTGCCCAACAGCCCAGAAGCTGGGCTGGACTCTGACTCTGGCCTGGACAGCTCCCAGCTTTGGGGAGAGCCCTGAGGGTGGAGGAGAAAAGTGAGCAAGGAATACTGGCAGAACCCAGAGGTCCTAGGGATGCAGGTGTGCGTGTGGCCCTGGGTGAGATGGTGCTGAATTGGAGAGGGGCGTGGGATGAGGCAGAGAGAAGGCTGAGGAGTGAAGCGGGCACGGAGCATTTAAGAGCCAGGGAAGCAGCTGGAAACTGGGCAGAGGAGGTCATGGGGAGCTTGGAAAAGGGATCCTACCAGTGTGGGATGAGAAGGGCAGCAGAGATAGGCCCGCCCCATCCCTTCAGGGACCCCAGCTCTGGGGCAGGCCACCAGACTCACCCCGCACATGCCGACACCCCAACATGAGCTGCCAAACCCCCGAGTCCCTGTTCTTTCTCACCAACAGATTTCCACGGCCCGCAGCCCCTGGGGTCCCCACCCAGGCACAGGTGGCCTCTTGGGGGGTGAGGTTAGCCCACCGGGCTGTACCTGGGCTGTGAGGGGAAGGCCAGGATCCTGGCCAGAACTGATTTGTGCCTGGGTCAAACCCTCAAGGGGGGCGTGGGGAAGCAGAGAAGTGGGGTGGGGGGCAGGCCGTGGGTCACTCCCTTTTCTCTAGGACTCCTGAGTCCCTTCACAGGAGCCCCATGTGATATTCATAGGGGGCTGCCTTCATCTCAGGCACCTTCAGGCTCAGGTGGTATATGCCCAACAGGCTCCCCTCCCAAAGGTGTGGGGGCTTGAGGAGGCTGCAGAAAGGGGGCAATGCCTTCCTCGAAGGAAGCTGCAGCATCAAGGGGGACACCCAAGCCTCTGCAGGGGAGCCCTGGTGGGCAGGGAGGGACCAGAAGGCTCAGTGGTAGCCACTGTGAGTGACACCTGGCCTGAGACGTCGGCCTCCACCTCTGAGGACCCTCAGCCCTGCTCTCCACCACCACATCCCTGCTCATCCCCAACAGAAAAGAAGAAAACTCCACTTCTTGAGGATTTATTAGACCGGGGCTGTTGTGCCTTTCGGCCAGGCCCCCGTAGCCCCTGCTCTGTGGAGGGCTGGCCAGAAGTCCGTCCTCAGGGAGGGTTCCCACTACTGCATGCCTGCATTCCCCCTGTGCCTGCCACTCCTCTGTCCAGCCACGCTGCCTTGGGGTGCCTTGGCTGAGCTTCTGGAAGTTCCAAGTCCCCAGCTTGCCAAGTGATCTTGGCTATATTCCTTATCCTCCCTGGGAGGATGCTACTTTCCTGTGAAAAGACAGGCCTGGGCCTACCCAGGGTCCTTTCCTGCTCAGTATCACGAATTCCACAGAAGCAGACAGGGTTCAGGTCCTGCCCCTGTCTGAGTCGCTGCAGCTGCTGCTCCTTGAGGCCTTTGCTTCTGTTTTCATCCAGCTCAGACCCACTCAGGTACCAGGGCCTTGGACCCCAGGGAGCCAAGCATCGCATCCCCTGGCAGGAGGAGGAGGCTGAAACAAAGCAGGGAGTGGGCAACCCCCCGGGCCAGGTACTACAATGGGGTCAGGAGGAGCTGGGCTTCTGCACTGAGGGGTAAAGCTTGCGCAGGCTGGAGTCCAGGAGGAAGTCCACCGACCTGTGGGGCAATGAAGAGTGGCGAACAGGTGACCAAGGGGTGATAATGGGGGAATGGGAGGCAGAAGGTCAGGGCTGGGGAAGGGACTCTCCACGTGCAGGGCACAAGTACCATCCAAGTGACAGCTATCACCTTCTTCTTTATTCAGTTGGGACAACTGAGGCACAGAGAGGGTAAACGGCTCAGGGTCAGCTACATTCCCTTGGAAAAGACTCCGCCTCCCACTCCACATTGGTCTAGCCCCATCTATGATTCTAAATGCAGGCACATGACCCAAGCCTGACCGATCAGAAAAGTGAAACTGGCTCCGGGGTGGACACCAGTCTACAATGGACCAATGACAGCCTTCCTTAGGGTTTTTGCTGTCACTATTGAGGAGATTCCTAGGGGGCTTGCTAAACTGGTGGGATGGAAGTTGGGAGCTGCTAAGAGCCATCTCTGCTCCTATGAGGGGAAAGTGAATGACACCAACGCGGAGTGGGGCGGGGTGGAGAAGGGCAGTAGGATGAGGAGACCCAGATCCCTAATGCCACCATTTGGGTGCCTAGATTCAGTCATGCCTGAAAGCAGCATAGCGACTTTTCAGGTTCACGAAACAATTCCTACTTCTGTCACTAAAACCCTCCAGGGTGCACCTGCTTCAGCCTGCTTTGGTTGTTTTGTAATACTATGTTTATGTTTGGGTTTTTTTCCCCTGGGAATTTACTTGTGCTGTGTCCTATACCCTGCAGGCAACCCCTGCCTTTGCTGCCAAGGTACCTGCCAGGTCATACGCCTCTGGAACCAAGTGCCAGCCCTGCCTCTGCCGCTACTGTTTTGTGCGAAGTGAGTACAATCCACGCCTCTCAGGACTCATCTCCACCCGCAGAGTGAGCAGCCCCTGGGGCTGGAGGCAGCGCCCACCTGTCAATGGGGTGGATGATGATGGGGATGACCAGGAGTCCCAGGGCAGTGGTGGTCCACTTGCGGACAGCCAGAGGCCAGCGGGTGGCGGTGCCCAGGACGTAGAGAGAGGCTGCACACACCCGGTTGATAGTGAAACCTGGGATGGCCACAGAGGCCAGAGCCTGCCACACGAAGGTGTCCACCACAGCCACAGTCACCCGGGTGCTGCGGCTTGCTTCAGGGCCTGGCACCTGGGGAGCACAAGAGAAAGAATCCAGCAGGGGCAGAGTCAGGAAACCCTGTGGACAAGGGGCATTTGGCTGGACCAGGAAGAGGGAAGAGGGAAGAGGGAAGCTGGGGAGGGGCAGGGACAGACCACACTAGTAACTGGGTCCTGGACTGTACCACATTTAGGGCTGGGGGTAGACTTGTCCACATCCAGGACTAGGTTATAAACGATGTCACACACAGGGCTGGGTGGGGAGGGGTTCACAATCCTACAGACAGGACTCGGGTAGGGACTGCACCAGGTGAGGATACAGGAACTGGACAGTTCACATGCTTTACCGCAGTGATTTTATCACATGCAAGGCTGTGGACTAAACCACAAGGGGAATGGACAGGGGTGGGGTGTTGGGGGCAGATTAACACTCACGTCTCCTGCCTTCTTGCCCTTGTCAATGGCATCAGCCAGCACATAGGAGCTGGACACACCATAGCTCAACCACACCACAGCTGCTGGCACCATGGAGCGGAAGGCCTCCCCAACCTCATTGGCGTAGCCTGGTCAGGAGAGGATATTTAATTCTGGAGCTCATGGATTGTGCCACAATGGGGCACTCCAGCAAGCCGTTTCTAATCCCAGCCTGCTTGCTAAACAGAAGCTGGATGACCTTAGACAAGTGATTTTCTCTCTCTGAGCCTGTTTCCCAGCCTATAACATGGCACACATGATGCCCACTTTAACTTTAGGGCCATTATGGGAGAGCTGAGAACAGTCATTGCTATCACTCGCTCCCCTTCCCATTGTGGACTCTAGAGGCATCTGTGCTAATGGGGGTACAGGCAGTGGCAGTGACTGGCAAGGACAGCATCACTGACCAGGCACTCACCGTGTGCCAGACCTTTCGGGGCTTTATCTCATTACACCCTTACAACCACCACCTGAAGAGCCCAGGCCCTGTGTTCATTCCTTTTCACCAACGAGGAAACTGAGGCTGGGACAGCCAGTGAAAAGCTGGGATAGGAGACCAGATACTCAGACTCCACAGCCACTGCCCAGGCATGCCAGAGAAGGCAACCTGCTCACTCCCTTCCTCCAAGCAGAGTCCAAGCTTCCACCTAGGAGTCAGAACCAGCCAGAGACTCCAAGGTCAGGGCTCCGCCGACCAGGGCTGTGTGACCCTGGGCAAATCCCTAGCCCTCTCTGAGCTCAATTTCTGGCACGGACAGAATGAGAACTAAGATCCTCCCACCTTCTCCGGGACCCGAACCGAGGTCCAGCGACCCCTGCTTCCCCAGCTACGCGGTGGGGGAGTCGCCGTGCCCCTTGCCACGCTCTCACCCAGGTATCGCACCCACGTGTCCCGGAAAAGGTCGCGCTCGGCACCCTGCGGGGGCGACTCCGACATGACGCTTCTGCTGCGGCCCCGGCCTCTGCAGCCAGTCCCGCCGCCGCTGCCGCCTCGGCTTCCACTCGGCGCTCTCGTCCCGCGCTGCGGGACCGATCGAAGGTCCCAGACTGAAGGTCAGGTCGTGCTGTCCCCGCCGGCAGGGAGCGTCTGTAAATTCCCCCGCGCACAGAAGCCCCTCTCACAGGCTTGGGTTTTACAGATTTATTTTCTTCACGTTTTCTCAAGGGTTGAAAGTTTGGCACGATCCTCTCCCAGGACTGACTGTATTTAACAGCCGGAGAGGCCGGCGTTCAAACGGAGCGTGCTACGCTGCCCAGCTGCGCTTCGTAGCCGCGTGACCTCAAACTTCTGTACATCTCCGAGCCTCACTTTATTCATTAGTTAAATGGGGACACCACAGCGTTTGCTCTTGGGATGATGATTAATACATGTCAACATTTATTGCATTTACTAATGGCCAGCTCTTTGCCCCAAAACTAGTAGCTACAGACTTCACCGGCTAAAGACTCCAGACAGGATACTTCCTTAAACTCTCTCATCAGTCCGTGATCCTCCATTTTACAGACAAGGAAATAGAGGTACAGAAAAAGATGGGTCACTTTCCCTGGTCATAGAGCTGCTAAGTGGTGAAGTCGCGATTGGCTTCAGCTCCTCTGCTCTTACGACGAGCTCAGTAAAGGAGCCCCGGGGAAGTGAATGGCGAGCACCCTGGCGAGGTGGATGCTTGGACTCTCGACTTCCTTCCCGACAGATGCCATGTTAGATGAACAAGCACTGGGGTCTAAACTGTAACAGTAGGCCCTTAGACAGAACCTCTTGGGGACAGGACCTTGAATTAGTGAATGAATGAATGGCAGGGAATCAAGGTTGTGGTACAAGACTTCAGGGCAGAACAGAATGAGGGAACTTGAGGGTGAGTGATTACTAAGGAGGGAACTCTTCCCCTGATGAACCTCAGTTTACCCACACGAGCCATATGTGCAGATCCGTGAATCCTTTAGGGGTATCAGCGAGCAAAGACACAGCCATTAAAGACAGGCAGTCCTGGGTCCCAGCTGTGTCACCTGTTAGCTGTTAGCCACCTCTGTAAAAAATGAGTAGTCAACACCTACTGAGCGCTCGCTTGTACCAGGCTCTCTTCTAAGGGCTTTGCATGTATTGTTTCCTTGAATATTTGCAATAACTCAAGGCTGTAAGCACAAGAGTTGTTGTGTGGTACCCAGTAGGCGTTCATTAAAGAATTAACTTTTATTATCATTAAATAAAATTGGACAATATGAAAACGACTGACTCCCTATTGAGGGTCCTATTCTCAGCCCTGGGTGTCGCTGTTTCTGTAGGGTCGTGTACGGATAGTCCAAGAGCCCGGTGGCACCTCTCCGGAAGCTGGGCTCCAGGCTCAAAGCATCCTCAGCCCCTGAAACACGGACAGTGCTGTCGCAGAATTAGGAGACAGTCCCTAACACCACGTGATTGTTGTTCCCCCCGCCTCCCTCCCATAAAGGGCCTACGGCAGGCACTACGCGCTAAATCCAGACCCGCAGGTGTCGGCGAGCAAAAACCACCCCGTGCGCGCTTAGAAGCCCGAGTGGGGCGGAGCCTCCGCCCTGACTGTGAAGGCGGCCGAGAGTATCCTTAGTGCCCATAGCAAAGATGGCGGAACACAGCCCACCAGCCAGGCCAATCAGAAGGCAAACTGGCCTTCGGGCCCCAAGGTAGCCTATCCCAGATTAGAGCAGCGAGTGGTTTCTGCGCACGCGCCCCGCCTTCAGGCGGGAACATTTTGTTAGGTTTCAGAAACAGAATTTTAGGGTTTTGGGTGTAGAACAGCGAGGAGCGACGCGGTAGGCATTGATTTGCACTCTCTGCGCACTGAACGTTGCTTTATTCATTGGTTAATTTTCCTAACAGAGCGTTGTAAACCAAGGTTGGGATGTCCTCCTGAGGGTTCTGGCTGGGGCCCATTCAGCCTCGGGCCCCCTCCTCCTGCTCCCTCAGCTTCGCCAGTCCAGCTCCCCAGGCTGGGCCGCCTTTTCGCGTTCTGAGCACCTGTGCAGCCCAGGGCCTGGTTTGCGTTTGCAGGATGTGGGATTGTGATAAGTGCTGTGGTTGCCCACAGGGTCCATCTCCCTCCATCTCCTAGTAGCTGAGCGATCCCTGCTTGTCACCGTGGGTGGAGCGGCCAGGGAACCTGCGAGGCTATTTGTGGTTGCCCCCAGCCCTTGGCTCTGTCAGATGCTGACCCTACCAAGCATTAGGAACCCATAGCACCCACCGTATGCTTCCCACAGAGATGGGACTGCCAAGACTTTGCTCAGGTCAGTCAGGAAGCAGGTTGGGGGGCACCGTGGAAAACTTAGGCTGGCCAATGCCCTCACTGAGTTCTTCTGTCTGAATCCCACTGATCATTTTTGTGTGGGTAATCAAATGAAGAGTTACTTGATGGGAGGCTGGTGACACTGAACAAAAGAGTGGAAGCCTCAGGACTCAACATCCATCCCAGCCTCTCTTCCCTTCCCTTCCCAGAGCTGAGATCCCTGGAGGTAACTTCCCCGTGCTTTGTTTGCATTGGAGGACAGTGGCTGGGTACCAAACCAAAGCTCACTGTCCCAGGAAGCTCTGAATCAATGACAATTATTAGTAATTACAGCAGCAGCAGCAGGTGGTACCCAGGAGTTGCTGAAGTTCCCAAGGTAAGGGAAAGACCTGCCTGTTGACCCCTGAGTGGAAAGGTTGGTGCTGACTCTAGACCATCTTCCGAGGCCTGGGAAAAGCCGAAAGATCCCACCTCAGTGATAGAAAGTTTAGAAGAGCCTCTAACCCCCAAAATAACTCTAGCAATTGGGTACCTTGCTGCTCCTCATTATGATCAAATCTCACACGTTCATTTGGCTGTACATTCCTCCCCTGCTTCTGGCTTCCCTGAAATGTTAAGTCTCAATCTCTCCCCTTCTCTAATTTCTTCCCTGCTGCCACGCTATGGTACGTCCTTCCTGTCTCAGCTGTCATAGGTAGGTGACACTGGCACAGCTTGTAGGACAAATAGATCCCATCACAGTGCCCAGCCCCTGGGGACTCTGTAACTTGAAAAGCAAGGAGACCCACTCCTGCTATGCTTCCTCTTCCTGATTCTGAAATCATAGCTCCCCAGATTCAGCTGAGTCTTTCTAGCCCAGTTTCATTTGGTGCCAGGGTGCTGGGAAAATGACTGCTCCACGGGATAGAAACTGACAGGGAGACACTGAGGGAGCCAGGCCTTCTGTGGGAGGAGCCGTTACTTTGGGGTGACTTCCCCCAGTTGTTTTATCTTCTCTTCTGAAGCTTTGTCTGGAAGCAGGACCTCCACAGTGAAATTGACCTTCTTGGCATGAATGAAGCTGTAGGTGTTGTCAAACCGCAGGACATCTGAGGGGAGGCATAAAACCAGACATTCAGGCAATTCTGACAAAGGGCTTGGGGACAAGGATTTTTGTTGACTGAGCAAGGCAATGTGGTAGGGAAGGAGGACGAAGGTAGCATAAGCAATGGTCCTTTACCTTCTGCAAATGAGTCCAGCTGGTTGACAAGATGATCATGGAGAGAAAAATATAAGAGAGACCATGCCAAGTGCCAGATGAGTGAGACAACCACATCTGTTAACAACTTAGAAAGAGCCCTATAGACTGAAATTTTGTGAAAGGCTCTTTAGAGGAGTTAGAGCTTGAACTGGGCCTTAAAAGCGGGTAGCAGAATTTGTAGAGGCAGTAGTTGTTACAATTATAATAGTAATGGCAACAATGGCAATTTATGTGTCTCAGCACTGGGTTGATAATCTATATGTTTTTTCACTATTCCTCAAAATAACTATGAGTTCAGCATTAGTCCTGTTTTATGTTCTATAAAAAAGGAGGTCACCGTGTCACAGACTGAGGAAGTGACAGAGCTGGAATTTCCCTGCCCTGGAGCCCAGCCCTGTGTAAACTTTTTGAACCAGGAATTTATTCCACAAGAATATAGACGAAGATGTTCATTGCACCTCTGTTTGTAAGACCTAAAAGCTTGGGGAAACTCAAATGTTCACAGGAGAATTGCTTAAAAAGTTTATATTGCAATCCATTTGATGAAATATTAAAAGAAAGAGGTTAGCTTCATAAGAAGTGACTGGGGAAATTATCCACAATGTATCCTTAGGCCAAAAAAGCAAACTGCAGAACATTATAAATAGTTTGTAACATTTTTGTTAATATAGATGTAAAAAAATTTTTTTTGGCTCTGCCACTTTGTCCTCTGCTCCCAGTTCTACTCAGGTTATTGTTCTAAAAGGAAGTTTTCGTGTGTGACCATACTACCCTGAACACGCCTGATCTTCTCTGAAAGTTTTTTCAAATCCTGTGACAGGTTTTACAATTTCAAAATTCCTTCAAACATACATTAAATAACAGATATACCAATAATTCCTGTGAATGCATATGTGTGTGTGCATGTCCTGTGTATTATGGCAACACGTAATTCATCTACCCCGCAGGGGTGTCCAACCTTTTGGGTCTCTGGGCCACACTGGAAGTGTTTTCTTGGGCCTCACATTAAATACACAAACACTAACAAAAACTAGCAAAAAAAACAAACAAACCCCGGTTTGCAGTAAATTTACAGTTTTGTGTTGGGATGCATTCATAGCCATCCTGGGCCACGGGTTAGACACCCCTGGTCGGTTGGACACCCCTGATCTAAAGGGAAAGGAAATATTTGATAAGATAATATTTAAGAGCTGTTAGGAGTGGTTTTCTCTGGGGAGAGAAAATGGGCATGAAGTTGGCAGAAAAGCCTTTTCTAGCCTTGGCTAAGGAACAGACTGCTTTTAATCTAACCCTTCTTTTATTTATTTATTTATTTATTTATTTATTTATTTATTTATTTTGAGAAGTTGTTCCATTTCAGTCAAATACCCCTTCAAGAGAACAAAGCATGAAAACAAAAACTAGCTCTGGCCTGGTTTTCTCACTTTCCCCAGGGAAAACAACAACAACAACAAAAAACTATATATTTAATTCTGAAACTTAACCTTTCCCCTTTTCTGTCCCTAGATAAAATGCATAGTTTAGTCTAAGGGTAGTCACACCACCCACCATTTCTTCATGGCGTGAAGTGAACATTAGTCATTCGTGTTCTCTCTATGCCAGAGGTCTTTCAAGACCCAGAGTCAGTCTGGCAAGAGGGCTGCCTCCTCTCTGTGGATGACAGAGCTTTAGCGACCACAGTCGGTTATGCTGGAGAAGTCTTCAAGCTCCTTGAACCAAGCACCATCGAGGTGGCTCTGCCTAGCATGATGTTCTACCCTCAGAAACAAGGAAGGGCTGTTCTGAGGCTCTGGCCTGAGGGTAGTGCAGTTCATATATTACTTGGTTCATCTTGACACAAATCATGTACTCCCGGACTCGTAGAGCCCCCAGAGACCCTCTAGGCTAGGACTCTTTAACTTTCGTTGGGGAACCTGCCCCCTTGAGGATCTGATGCTTTCAACATCAGATGAAATTTTCCCATAATCTCAGATCCTCTGGGGCCCACCATGGACCTTCCGGGGTGGTGGTTCCCAATGGAAAGGTGCCATTCTGGAGAGAGGCGGTGCATGGCTGTATCATGCCCTCTCGTTTATGTACTGAAAAAATACATATACACTAAATTAGCTTCCTTTTATTTCTCCAAATAGGAGATTATATTGATTTTTAAATTATCTGTGTGAGTTATTGTATTTTAGAATAGTGGAGGGGACATTAGACAGTACTTGTTATAAAGGGAGAGGTGTTGGTCTTTAAGATTTATAATCACTGCTCTGGGGAGTCCCTAGACCCCAGATTGAGGTTTCTTGCTCTAGCCTACTCCCCTCATTTTAAGGAAGCGGGGAAAACTTCATTATTTAGGGACACCTGTTAAAACAATCAGAGAATTAGGGGCAGACTGGACTCCGAAACCAGGCCTCCTGATGCGCCTTGGGCTCTTTTCATCTCAGCGCTGCCTGGCGGTGCTGTGTGACCCTCACTCAGTGATTCAGGCCTTCTAGACTGCATTCTCCACTCCTGCAGGCAGAGCCCAGACCTTTTTTCCCGAACCTTTCTCTTTCCTAGTAGAGTATTCTACACTCAGGCCCTCAGGAAATATTAGTTGAGAGAGAGAAAAAAAGTGAAATCAATTTAGACTTTGTTCCTCCTCCTCAGTAATTGAGGACACTTGGTCAAGGACAGGAGCAGCCTGGGGAGAGTTAATGCGCTCCTGCCGTCTGAGGCCGGCACGGAGCTTTCATTTCTCCTCTGGGTGACTATGCTCCACTTGGCAGGGGCTTGCCTGGCTCTCCAGGGACATTGCCCTCCCACAGGTGAGCTTGTAACTGAACACTGGGTTCTCTCTGGGCACAGGTCTAAGCTGAGCCATGGCCCCAGACAACAGCTGACCCGCCTCATTGTCTTCACACCTGGGACGGGGGCATGGACACTGTGCCTGCCTCGCCTCCTCCTGGGACTGGACCGCAAGCAGTTCCCACTCAAGGCCCCGCGGGCAGATAAACATTCCACCCGGGAATGTATCCAAGAAGAGCTCAAATAAATTTGGGATTTGCACACCTAAGCCTGATCATGTTAAAAGCTTCATGGTCCTTTCTCAGCCTGTGCCCTTCAGATACTATAGAAGGGTAATGGGAAATGCTGGAAAATGGGTTGGGCTCAGCTACGGGCTGTGTGATCTTGAATAAATTACTTCTCTGGCCTGGGACTCTACTCTCGCTTCTGTCACATCACAGGTGGACCCGATCATCTCTGGATAGTCTATAGCCAAGAGATCCTGGACCAGGATCCTGGGAGCCTCTGGTGTTCTGTCTTTTGGTGTCTATGCAAGCTACTTTGTGCAAGAGAGAACATCCCTTCTCTCTACTTCAGCTTCCCTCTCCACTAAAAAATAAATAAATAAAAATTCAAGCTTAATGTACAAAATGATTTATGCTCTGTGGATGACAGTATCTGGGCTGGTGCTAAGCCTGGTTCCTGCTGAAGCACGGAGTATATGCCTTCTCCCCCAGGACCCGGCTGCTCCCTAACAAGAATACTTCTCCTCCCTGAGGAGCCATACCACAGAGCACCTGCGAGGAGGTGGCCGTAGAGACTGAAAGTTGCCTAGGATGTGGGAGAGGACACAGCTTCTGAGGTTGGGGTGTAGACAAGACAGAGGCTAAGATATCTGTAGGGCTAGTTCACATCTGGGGGTGCTGCTATAGAAATGGAGAACAGCGCTTCTCCCATCTCCGCACTATCTCCGGGATGGCCCTTCTCCCCTGTCTTGCCCAGGTAACAATAACGGTGGCTAAAGTGTGTTCACTGCTTGCTGTATGCCAGGCATTATGCTAAGTGCTACACAGACCTAATCACACTTAGTTATCATGTGTCCCTATGAGGTAAAGAAGTTGATCCCCACTCTAGTAGCAATCAGGAAACGGAAGCTCAGGAAGGCGGTCACTTGCTTCAGGATTAGTCAGTAGTCAAGTCCTACTCAAGATGCTAAAGCCCTTGCTCTCATTGATTTTCCATGCCTGGCCCCTTGGCTCTGACAGGAAAGAAAGTGGAGAGTTGATGGGGGGGAGGGAGGGGAAACGGGTGTGTGTGTGTGTGTGTGTGTGTGTGTGTGTGTGTGTGTGTGTGTTTGGTTTTCTGCTTAAAAATGTAGTGTATGGTCACTGTAAAATAAATTGTATTTGCAGAACTATAATAAGTCCTCACTTAACATCATCAATAGGTTCTGTGACTTTCAGAAACAACGTAGTATAATGAAACCTGTTTTCCCATAGGCTAACTGATATAGTGCCTAAGGCATATTTCTGGTCACAAAAATATCACCAAAATTCTAAATAAATACCCAAAACACTTCTAATATTAAACATTGAAATAAGTGTGAGCTATACATACATTTAAGAAAGGTTAATAAAAGCAAGCCAGGCAACAATTTTCCAACTAGCTCATTTGAGTCCAGGGTCACAGGTGGCCCGAGCCTCACCCCCAGCTCAGGGGGCGTGGCATGAGCCAACCCTGGACAGGGCGCCGTTCCACTGGAGGGCACAGTCATACACACTCATACCAGGACAGTTAAGACACACCATTCACCTCACGTGCATATCTTTGGAACATGGTGGGGCAGGGAACCAGAGTCTCCAGAGAAAACGCACATAGACGTGGGGAAGATGTGCAAACTCCGCAAAGACCGTGGCGCTGCCTGGGAATCTTTTTCCTTTTTTTCCCTTCACAATGTTATAATGAAACAACACGGAACAGAATGATGTTACTCGAGGACCCACTGTAGTGTAAAAAATGAAAGCCCTCTATAAGCTTCCTACCATCCCAGAGGGAACCACCATGAGAGTTAGTATAGATTCCCCCAAATTCTTTTCTACGTACGCAGTTTTTATTACCCAAAGTGAGTGTATACCATATATGCTATGTTTCATACTTTATTTTTTTAAACAGGTATCAGACATCTTAGATGTCAGCTTATTCTCATTAATGGGTATATTATACTCCATTGTATGGATGAACCATAATTTATTTAACTTACTTAACAAGACCTTATTAAGGCCATTTAAATTTATTGCCAGTTTCCAGGCTGCTAGGATCATCTTACATCTTTGTGTCTTTGTGTAAATATTTCTGCAGACTAAATTTCTAGGAGTAGAATTGCTGAGTCAAGGGAATTTTAATCAATAATTGCAAAGTTGAGTAAGGTTACACTCCTTTTCAAATGCCTATTTGCCATTCTTATTCCTCTTGAGTTAAAGCTCCTGTTCACATTCTGTCAGAGGTATCAAGGCTGGGCTTCTAAGGGCCCTGCTCACCCTATGATCCCTACACCCACCCTGCCAGTTCTGCCTCTCTGACGTGTGGGGATGAATTCCCTAGAGATGTCTGACCACAGTCACAAACCCAGTTAGACCTGGACCGACACTCCCCTGTGATCAGCTAGCACTGTGACTAACCTCTGCCTGGTAGGATCATGTCAGAATCTCACCTTGCTTTTAACCAACTTGAGTCATCTTGAGCAAGTCATTTCGCCTCCCCAAGTCTAAGTTTCATCACCGGCGCAAGGGGAGAGCTGAACTGACAGAGTCCTGCTTTTAGTTCTAACAGCCTGAGAGCCTAAATTTCTGGAGAAAGAGGGGCCTCAGAGGCAGACTTCTAGGGCACGAGCTTCAAGCCGAGACAGAGATACTTACAGATGCCAGGATTGCTGCAGGTGAGGGTTCCGTCCTCAGGCACCAGGTGGGCATTGTACCTCTGGTTGGGCAGCACCTCTGTCATCTCCCCTGCCTTCTGTCGCTCTCCCATCTTGGTCTTCAAGAAAATCCCAAAACCGATATCCGAGCCTTCTGACATGAACTGCCACCTGCAAGGGACATCCACCCATTCCGACACGATTAGGGGATTTGGGGGTTCAGCCCCGAGAGCTTTTCTCTCCCCAGCCCACCCACCAGTACCTCTGGCGAAAGAGCTGAGGTCTCCTGGAAGGATCCAGAGCCCTACCTGAGGACGCAGCCGGGGAAGAGGATCTCATACTCTACTTGATGGGAGGAGCCACGGGAAACATGCACACTGTGCTCGTACTGCTGTTTCACCTGGTCTCGCACATAATACTTCTTGGGAATATCGCCCCCATAGTTAATCTAGAAGCAGAGCATGGAGTGAGCTGGAACATGCATTAGAGGCAGGCTTCCCTGGTCGCCTCCAGCCCCTGGGGCCCATACCTTGGATTTGCACTTGGGGTTTCCATCAGGGTCAGTCATGGTGCCCCCATACTCCACAGGCACCTGGTCAGGGCTGACATATTTCAGTAAAACCTCCTTCCAGTTTTCTGGCAGGAGAGGTAAGGAAGGAGAAAAAAGGGTCACCACTAGGTAAGATTTCATCACAGCCTTGGCAGTCTACACAAAAGAGGCAGGGAAAAAACCCCATCCGCCCCACACACAAAACACAGGTGTTAGGAGCCATGATGTGGGCACAGCACTGCAGGGTTTTGGGAGGAGCCTTCCTGGGGATTGCTGTGCCCTGCTTCACGGGTCAGGAGACCTGCGGTCCTGTCCCCATTGCCTCTGGCCAGGCCGTGGTGGGAGTGAGGTGGCCTAAGTACTTGAAGAGGGTATTGTAAACAATAAAGTGCCCTATACCTAGGAGAGTGTACTATCACTCCCAGGAAGGTGAAAAAAACATTTGAAGTGCAAGCAGGAGGTGACAAAGAAGGGAGCGAAGTGCATTCCCTGCAAAGGGAACAGCGTGTGCAGCAGGCAGGAGGGCCAGAATCAGCAAGATCCGTCCTGGTTAGACTGAACGCAGAACAGGCAGAACCGTGTGTCTTGTCCCCGACTTTTTCTACACATAATTGTGACTGAATGAACTCATCGGTGTAGAGTGATCACTTAAAATGGGTTCTCTTGGCTTTACCCCAGCCACGGTTTCACGTCTGCTTCTGTTTTTGTAGGTTGTTTTTTTTTTTTAAGGCTGTTTAGCTGCCAACGATTTGGCTCATATTTTGGTAACCAAGCCCTTTCCTGACTAGGAGAGTTTGACGTGAGTGCAACCAGTGCTGTGCACTGCTTCTCCATCAGCCCAACGTCCTCAACAAGTATCAGCCAAGTATAATATTTTGATACTGGAAACCTTTCCAGGCTGGTGCTAGAGACCATATGAAGGTAGCAACTCCAGCTCATGGGGTACAACTCGGTGCGCGCTGCCGCTGGTGCTGGCTGGAAACCCACAGAGACCGTCCTGGGCCTCCCAGCCCTCAGATTTCAGGGACCCGAGTCCATGCAGCTCCTGGAACACAGTGTCTGTGGTCTCAGGGTGATTTAATCTGTGCTGCTAAGCTCCAGCAACCAGCCCAGAGTGAATTCTTCCCTTTTCTGTTGAAGATCCTGTACTTTCTCAGCCCAAGGCAGGTTTGGTGGAAAGGATTTCAGGTGTGGGTGGCAGAACAGACCGAACCTCCTCCACAGCTCTGCTGCCTGGAAACCTAAGTATCTCATGCTCATGGTGGGCGGTAGCAGCAGAGAAGCCAAAACTGTCAGAGCCATTACTGGGATTTTGTATTTTTTCCCCCAGCTCAGCTGGAGAGTTGGGATAAGGCCAGGGGGAATTCTTTCCATCTTACAGAGAGTCACTGAGGCAAGAAGCAGAACTTGTTGCTGCCAGAGCCAGGACAAGGACCTAGATGTCCTGGACTTTCCAGACTGCCTCACTCCACTCCTAGGACTCACCAGCACACATTTAGAAAATCTCCACTTTCAATGTGTTGCCTAAAGGTGAACATTCAGAAACGTCCAGAATCCCCCCTAACTACCCATAAGTTCAAGTTCAGAGGTGGCCTCAACTCTTCCATGATCTACCTAGCTCCAATCTACCTTTCAAGCCTTTTCCCTCACCACTTCACTTAATGCTGCAGCAAAACTGACTCCTGTCTGTCCCCGGCTGGCTTGATTCCTGTGCATCTTCCTTCCTGGCTTCCCATGTGCCCTGATGTTCTCCCTGCTTCCTTACACACCCAGTCCCTGCCCACCTGCTTCTCTGGCGACCTCCTCAATCACTTCTCAGCCTCCCTGACGGACTCCTCTTCCTCTGCCTGCCCTTGAAGTTGGATATCCCCAGGGCTCAGCCTCTGTTCTTCTGGGGGCAGTCTTATCTGTTCTCAAGGTCTTGGCTGCTGCCAACATTTGATAGCTCCCAAATCTCCAGGCTGGTGTTCTCCCCTAAGCTTCAGGCTCAGGTATCCCCAATATCTGTATATCTCGCACACTCTTCAAACTCAGCTTGAAACTCATTCTTCCAGTTGTATTCCTCCATTGAACTAGTTGCATTACAGTGACTACAATACTTAGTCACTCATGTCCTGCACTAGGGAGTCATTCTAGATTTCTCTTCGTCCCTTCCTATATCCAGTCATTTGAGTTCTTCTGTTTTACTTCCTAAACAAGTCGTCAATCCACCCTCTCCTCTCTGCACCCACTGCCTTTGTGCCAGCACAGGCCTGTGACACCTGACACATGGATTATGCCCACAGCGGGCAAACACATCCCTGTCCTTCACGGCTTTGCCAATATGATTATAACCTCAATTTAAAATCTGATCCTGGTAATCCCCTGCTCCCAACTCACCTCTGGTTCCCAGGGGCCTGTAGAGTAATGTCCCAGCTTCTTAGCATAGTGCCCTGGATTCTCTGTGACCTGCTCCTGACTCCCTCTTCGGCCCCATCTCTTGCGATATCCTGCCATACGTTTGACAACTGCCTGTGCCATGGTGTGTAGGGTCTTTGCTCGATGCTGTTCCTTCTGCCCAAGAGCTTGCTGCCTTGCTTCATCTGGCTCCTCTTACTCATTCCATTGCACTTGGCTGAGGTAGGCCTCACCTCCTCCCTAGGCCAAGTGGGCTTTGTATCCCTTCCCTAAGAGACCTAGAGCTTTTCAAGGGACTTGTCTATTTCACCTTCCTAGTCCAAGGCCTGGCACATAGTAGGTGCCCATCCAATGAAGCCACTCCTACTTGCCCCCAGCTGAAAGCAGCCTCTGCTCCTGTGACCTCCATGGCACCTTCTCGAGGCCACTTCTAGTACTTTTTCTAGTTTTTTATCATAGCTTTCTCTCCCAAGGTCTTTTCTCTCCTCTTACACTATAAGCTCCTTAATGGCAGGGACTGACATTTCATTCATCTTTGAATCTGCAATGCTGAGCTCAGTACTTTCTTCTAGAGCGTCTGAGAGAAAGAGTTCTCATGAAGGCAGACAGGAAGACCCCAGCCCAGCCCCAGCGTGCTCCTGGGTCCCACGGCGACCAAACCAGCAGCACGAACATCGGTCCCGGTGGCTGTTGGCCCTGTCTCTAAGGCCATCCCCAGTTTGGGCCGCAGGCCATCCTATGGAGCTGAGAAGAGTCTGGGCTACTCACCCCCCAGGACCATGATCTTCTTACGAGTGTCCTCACTCAGGAAGTGTTTGACGAGATTAAAGGCCACAGGAAACAGCTTGGGGGCTGGAACAGAGACGAGAGAATGTGAGACTGGAAGGAGCGCCCACTCTGTCTCTAACAGTGCTGTCCACAGCGCCCTGTGCCTCAGGCCACGTGTTCCCTAGTGCTGGTGCTGTGGAGCCCACACAGGCAGCCCAGGGTATGAGGTTCCGCATGGGCACCTCCCCCGCTGTACAGTGGGTACAGTCAAGTGGGTATAGTCTTCCTGTGTCACTGGGCTGGGTGGCTCGAAGGCAGTAATAAATTGTAAAAGCTGTGTGACTTGTAAAGCACTTTGTGTATGTCAAGTGTCCTCCGATCCCCTCCTTTGACTCACTCTGTTTTACTCTCCTGAATCTGTCCCGGTAACATTTTTGGCTCCTTTTGCTCATTTGACTTTCTCACTTGGAGTTCCCAACTTACCTTTGATAACAAAGAGACGCTTCAGTGTTTCAGGATAATTATCCTCAACCAGGCAGAGAAACTGTGGAAACAAAATAATCGAGTAGAGTGGGCTCAGTCTTCCGTGTCAGGGTGAGGCCTCGCCTCCTCCAGGCCAGACTCCACCCCCTCACCTCACCACCCCACAAGGCATCCGAGCAGAGGGGTCCACTTCCACAACTGCCTATACCCCCCACCCTGCCTCTCCAGTCCTGCCCCTCACCTCTCCATAGGTCTCCACAGCAGGCTTCCAGAGATGCTTGAGGCCAAGCCCTTCACAGTCATAAATCATGGTGATGGAATCCACCTTCTTCCCTATCTGTGAGGGACAGAGGAGCAGAAAGTCACAGCAGGCCGCCCTGCTGCAGAAGCCCACCCAGTTCAGGGCAAAGGCTGATTGTGTCATGGGCTCATATTGCAGCTGGATCTGGGCAGGGCTATTCCTAGGGTTTTCTAAATAGAGATAATTATCCCAGGCCAGAATCACGGCCCAGGCAAGTCACCTTCCTGCCTAGGTCTCCGTGTTCTCATCCAGTAACCACTGGGTGGACTGAAATTGCATCTGAGGTCCCTTCTCTTCTGCAGCTTGACCTGATGGCCTCCCTCTTCCCCAGTGTGCAGCGGCATGTACTGCACTCTCTGTGGCCCTTCGGGCGGCCCCTTATCTCATACAGAGATGCTCTGCGCAACCTAAGCCCTAAAGGGGGCGTTCCCATCTAGCGCTTCTTTCCTGCCCAGCTGGCAGGAGCTCTGCACTCACTAGGCTCACAGTGAATGTGGATGATGGTGTGGAAATGGTGCCACACATATTGTGTCATTTTATAGGATATTTATATTTGCTGAAGGGGAAGGAAGGAGAAAAGATCATGGTAGCAGCTCCAGCTTGCTCTTTAGCCTTTTTCTCAATAAGGAAGTCAGCTGCCCTTATCTTTTTTGAAATCCAGAGTTAGAGAAACATAGAATCTTAGTTCACCCACACCAGCAATACCCAAATACTTGTCTAAGGATAGGGTTGTCTTATGACAAAGATCTCACTGGTGTCCAGATAAATGAGAAAAATAACAATAATGTAGTTAAGTTCTTTTTTTTTAATTGGTTTTGAGAGAGAGAGAGAGAGGAAGAGAGAGAGAGAAACATCAATTTGTTGTTCCACTTGTTTGTGCATTCATTGGTTGATTCTTGTGTGTGCCCTGACTGGGAATCAAACCCTCAATCTTGGCATATTAGGATGATGTTCTCACCAACTGAGCTATTTGGCCGAGGCCCAATGTAGTTATTTATGAAGCTAAATTCACTATTTAAAGGACTGCCCTTTATTCTGAGATTTTGCCATTCCCATACTTTGGGGGGTTTATGATGGTGATGGTAGTTGGCAATTTTTTTTAAGTCCTTCCTTGGAAAAATAAAAATTTGGCAACAAATGTAAGTTTCTAGAACTTTGAAATTCCACTGGGCTATGAGATCCGGAGGTCCAGGCCTCAGCCCTGAAGCTGCGTTAAGTCCCTGTGTGATACCCCTGCTCTGCTTCAGTGCCTCTACCGTGATGAACTCATTTTCAACTGTGCTAGTCCACTCGCCTTTTCGGTCTGGCGGTTGCACTCCTGCGCAAGCAGCTCGCAGTCCCGCATCTTGGTCTTCAGCAAGTCCTGTTTGGTGGCTGAGAGGAGCAGACCCCTGGCATCCAGAGGTCCAATGATATCATACCAGATGGGAGAGCCCTCCTTGTCGTAGCCACACATGCCTCCTGACAGATACAGTTGGACCACCTGGGCAAAGACACAGAGAAGGCACCTGGTAAGCAGATTCAGGGCAGCTGCACGTTCCCTGCATCCCAGGGCCTTCCTCTGGGGTCATCAGTCTCTCCCTCAATAGCCCTCCCCTGGGCACCAATGGACACCCATTCTGGGAACCGTTAGCGTCCACTTGGCATTGTCAGACCTTTCTTCTGAAGGTTCTAGTCCCACAGACCCAAGGACGCAGATTGCGGTCTAATGACCTAACAGAGGGGTGGGCCAGGATCATTTATCCTCACCTCTGGAGGCTGCCAGCTCATGATGTTGTCAATGTCTTTCTGCTTTCGGAACTCCACATGCTGCAAACACACAATCAGGGCTTTAAGAAAGTGAGAGCCGGGGTAGGGGGACCCCTTAATAGACATCTAGCAATAGGAGACAGCATGAACAGGTAAGTTAGGAGAAGGCGACTGGCAGGGATGCAAAAGAAGGCACTGCCTGGTTTAGAAGTCTTGGCAGGACACCAATTCTTGGCTAGCCCAGGAAACCTCTGTGTTTCCAGGGAAGGGAACACACTTTTTCCAGAGGGATAAGGCAGTAGTGGTCGGCCAATACTCAGCTATGTCACACAAGCCACAGGCTGTGATGGAGGTGAGCGGGATGGGCAAAAGAAGTTCAAGCACGGTGTGATTCTGGTGGGCAGGAATAGAGGTAGCCGCGGGATTTGGAGGCTAATGGATCTCACCTTCCGGAGCATGGCCTCAGACTTCTGCAGGTCGAAGCTTCTTGCTGTAACAGGGAAATGTGGTCAGGGTTAGGCCAGCAGACTGGGCATCCAAGGACAAGGAGATTTCTCTGTCCTCCTACTGGGGTCATCTCCTCTCTCTTAACACCCTAGCTGACTCTTAGATCACCCCCACATGTAAAGGCTAATAGGAGGAACTTCACCGAGGGCTTCTGGAGCACTACAGCCCCTGGAGAGCAGGTCAAGGTTAAGTTCAGGTAGGAGTAGCATTGCACCTGCAGAGTCAAAAGAATTTTGCCCTAGTAGATGCAATCGGGTGAAGGATCTTATCTCCTCTCAGGAAAAGTGAACCCTGGACTTCCTTATCATATAGCTTTTCCCTTACATAAAGTTAATCTCTTCTGCAGCCTAATACCTAGTCCTGAGAACTTGACCCACAGTTCAAAGATGAACATAGCTACCCAGTAATCTGGGGTAGAGCTGGCAGAACACCCCAGTAGGATGGAGGGCTTGATGAAGTTCCAGTCAACCTTTGCCATGTCCTCCTAAGACACATGCGTACCCCAATGGGACACAGAGGGCCATCTCCCAGGGTTCCTGTAATGTTTTAGAATTAGAAGTTCACCTAGCCAACTCTACTTTATGCATGAACCCCAAAAAGTTGTCTTGCTAAAGCTTGAACACAGAGACCTCACTGCCCCCCAAAGCCACCTGCTTCCAGGTAATCCGAGTTACCATGTGCACTCAGTCCTCATTGTCATACTGAGTGGAGATCCACTCCAGAGATGCTTAGAGAGTGGGGTCGCTCCTTCAGCCATGTGACAACCTTTCCAATACTGGCAAATACTGTGCTGCCGCTGCGTCCTCTCTGCTTTCATGCTGCCCATCAGTGGATGCTTTCACCATTCCTTCCAGCTTGATTTCAAGTTCACCCAAATAACTTCCCTTTGGAAGTTTTCAAGTTTGCCAGTGACCCTCTTCAAGTGTGTTGTCCAGAGCTGAGCACAGCAGCAGGCGTTGTCTACCCTTCTCCATTAAAACCTAAGAACGCTGCTGGCATTGATCACACCCTTAACTCTGGTGGAACATATAGTCCGCTGAAAGCCCCAAATCCTTTTCAGCTGTTCTGCTGCTAAACCTTCATCCCCTATGTTGTGAGGTGGTTTTCTGGCTCCACCCCTGTTAATTTCATCTTGTTAGAGTCAGCTTCATTTCATCCTTTATTTTCCCCCCAAAGATTTTATTTACTTATTTTTAGACAGAAGGAAAGGAAGAGAGAAAGAGAGGGAGAGATACATCAATGTGTGGTTGCCTTTTGCGCGCCCCCTACTGGGGACCTGGCCCGCAACCCAGGCATGTGCCTTGACTGGGAATCAAACCAGCGGCCCTTTGGTTCCCAGGCCGGCACTCAATCCACTGAGCAACACCAGCCAGGGCTCATTTTTTTTTTTTAAAGATGTTATTTATTTATTTTTAGAGAAAGGGGAGGGGCGTAGAAAGAGGGAGAGGAACATCGATGTGAGAGAGAAGCATTGATTGGTTACCTCTTATGCACGCTTCACCTGGGGGCTGAACCCACAATCAGGCACATGCCCTGACTGGGAACTGAACAGGCAACCTCTCACTTTGAGGGATGACACCCCACCAACTAAGCCATATAGGTCAGGGTTTCATTTCACTCACTAAAGAGTTTTGGAGATCCAGATTCTGACCAGTTTTGTCATCTGACCTATGAACTGTCCCTCCCAGCTGTGTGTGCTCTGTTGACATCAAGATCTGCTCGACAGCCCGGGAACCTGGGCCACATAGGTTGCCCTCTGGACCGTCACTGGGCCTTTAATCGCTGTTTCCCAGGAGCGCCCAGGCATATTCCCTCACCCAGCTATCATGAAATTCAGTCCACTCTTGATGCATACAAAGGGTGCATCAGGAGACCTGGCCAATGCCACGTCTTCCAAAGGTGCTGAACACATGTTAGGGGAACTGAACAGTCTTCAGTCTTGGGAAGTCCCTCCTCACTGCCCTTCATGTGCCATCGTGGCAGCACAGGGCAGCTTTCAGAGGAATGTAATCCGGGTTTGCATCTCAGCCCTGGCACATCCCTCTTTGACCTTGGACAAGATACTGCACATCTCTGATGGAATCATCTCATGAGCTAAAAACACTTGGAAGATGCAAGGCAACATCCTGTCATGACGGGGAAGCCCCGCTGGACTGTGAAAGTGGGAATCCTGCACAGGAAGGACACCCCTAACTGTGAGACCAGACCTTATCTCCCCAAGGCACAGGAGTGGCAGTGAACTGTGAGCCCCCTTATCTCAGGGTAGTTCTCCAGTTAACCCTTATCTTCCAGGGTCCAACATCCAGGGTCTTCTTTAAGGGCCCTCCCCTAGTTGACACTTGCCCCTGGCAGCACCTGGCCTGGTCCCTCCCCATGCCGGCTGAGTCAGGCCTCTCCGGAGCTCCTGCTGCCCTGCTCAGGGGCAGCTCAAAGCAGGGCTCAGGGCCCTGCCCGAGAAGCCCACTTAGGAGCAGCCGTCCCAGGTTCTTAACTGATCACTGCTGGGCCCGGAAAATGAGGAGACTCAGACCTGCTCTGCCCCCTCACAGGGTTGCCACCACTTTGCTGTTTTTATCTTGCCATCTGACTCTCCACGCTGGAGTGCCCAGAGCTCAGCGCAGTTCGGGGGAGGCAGTGGAGCTTCCAGGGCCTGCTTTCAGGGCCTGGGGCCAGGAGGAAACTAAGTGTACCTGCAGGGGGTGGGGGTGGGGTGGATCAGAGTGGAACCCAGCTCACACCTATGTTAGAAAAAGGCACTCTGCTGGCATGCACCGTGCAGATACTTCCTTTAGAACCAAAGGGAGGAAGAGAAAAGGTTTCTAAAAAGAGAGCAACAACAAAAACCCTAATTGAAATTCATAGTAGAGTCTGACCAGGCTTGAGCTCCTGCCCGAGAAATGTGAGGCACCAAACAAAGTGCAGAGGAGATACTTTCCCTGTTTGAAGAGGCAGAGCTTGGCTTCAGGGGCAGCTGTGGCTTACTGGAGAGACTAGTGGCCTGGGAATCTGGGGCCCAGATTTCTGCCCTGATTCAGCTTCACATTAGCCGTGTGCCTTCAGCTAAGTGCCCTCCCTTCTCTGAGCCTCAGTTTCCTCATCTGGCAAATGAGGATGACCACACTCTTTGCTGTTCCTGAAAAGAGAGAGGTTATCCCAGGACTGGGTTGTTGAGGGTGTCTGCAAAACCAGCTCCAGGACCCCAGGGTGGCCTCTGAGATAAAAGAAAGCTGCATTGTTGTTCACAGCTCTCTGAAACCACACCTCCCCCTAACAGCAGTTTAGTAGTTTGTTTGATGATCTAACAGCTGGCCCTTTAAGGCAGTGCTGGCTTCCCATTCTCTCCAACCGCCCACTTCTAACTACAGCTCTTTAGCAAACTGCTAGGCCAAAATATCCTCCGGCCCTGGACTGACTCCACTACCACCCCCACACTGCCCCTCTACCCTCTCTGAGTGGCTGGGGGTGTGGGTTTCCAGCTCTTTTGTGAGGGAAAAGGGCGAGTGGCACTTCCAGAGGTACACAGAGCCCCCTGTGGCTCTCATGGCTGCACCTGCCATGGGTACCTGCTAGTAGTCCCTCAGAGGATGTCAGTCTATTCAATTTCTGCAAAGAGAAGGAAAATCTATCTCTTCACCTACCCCAAGACTGCTAGTGTGTTTGTGTCTATAAATAAATAGTCAGGCATAATTTGTACTTTAATTTTTGAACTATGGTTCCACATCACAACTTAATCTCTGCTTATGTAAGAAAGTGGAATTTATTCTCTATTGTTTCTATGCCTCGTGACAAAATTTCTATAAAGAAAAAGAGCGTGCCACAAGAACTAGAGAGGGTGGCACGTGACTCGAATTGCAAAAGAGAAGAGGAAAAAGAACAGGTTTCAGGAGCTGGAACATGGGGTTGCGTTTAACCCTGCCACTAATAGAAGCATGTGCCTTGCATCAGAGGCCCAGAGCTCTGTGATGTCACATCTTGCAATAAGCAGGGCACCCTGTTTCGTCCTGCCGTCCCAGAGAGGGGTCTAGGGCAGATGTTCACCCCTGGCCCATGTACCACAGCCCGGCTGGAAGCAGAACTAGAATGTGGGGCTCTGCCCTGGCTGGCGTGACTCAAGGGACTGAGTGCCAGCCAGTGAACTGTAAGGTCACCAGTTCGATTCCCAGTCAGGGCACATGCCTGGGTTGCCGGCCAGGTCCCCGGGTGGGGGCATGTGAGAGGCAACCGATCCATGTATCTCTCACACATCAATGTTTCTCTTCCTCTCTTTCTCCCTCCCTTCCCTTTTCTCTAAAATAAAGAAATTTTTTTAAAAAAGAGCCTGGTGGTGGCTTGAGGGAATCTTGTCGACCTAGTTCAGGCTGAGTGCCCCCACCACGTTCCCCACACTCTCCGGCCGAGCTTCAAGCGGCATAAACTGCTGCCAGCAGGAGGCCTGCCATCCCAACAGGCCACAGGGGCCGCAGCTCTGGTTCTAAGCTTGACTCTGCCTCTGACTTCCCACATGACTGGGGCCTTTCTCGGCTTTTCCTCAAGCTGTTGCCCCAAGTCCATCAGCAGAATGGATAGAAAGGGCACCGGGCTGGGACTCAGCCGTCCTGGGCTCTAGTCTTCTCTTTTTCTGTAATCCAAGTACTGTGTGACTTGGGGCAGGTTACTTCACCTCTCTGAGCCTCAGTGTTATCTATCCAGTAGGAAGGTTTGTAATTGCCAAAGGGCCCTATTATCTCTAAGGGGTGAATACTCCAGATTCTCCGCTTGCCAGGGCCAGGGTTTCCGGAGGGTGCTATTCTGGTACCCAGAAGTGGACCCTGCCCCAGCTGCCCACAGCCCCTCTTCCCTCACCTCGGAGCCAGCGCAGGAGAAAATAGTCATCTGGATTCGGCAGGGAGGGCAGCACATCCTGGACATTCTCCCGAAACTGTAGGGAGAGGAAGCTCAGTGAGTGACAGGTGCCACCCTGACCGTCCTCTACCCAGGACTCTCCAAAGGGGCTTTGCTGGACCCCTCGTCAATGTCAGTTAACTCTGCAGACACTGGCTGAGCTTTTGGGCTGCTGGGACATTCTGTCTGTCATGCTAGTGGGGGCCGGGTCGCAGGAGTTGGGCAGCGAGTCAGGTGCTGCCCCCGCCTGGCTGCATGCGCTTCCACACTCCAGTGTGGTGGGCTGGCAGATGTCTTCTCAGCTAACTATGAGAGCAGACACTGTGGGACACGCCACAATAAAAGCTGTCAATTTACCAAGTATTCCCCACACGCCCAGCACTGAACTTGGCACTTCCTCCTGCCTCATGCAGTGTCCCTAGAGGTATTACTGTCCCCATTTTACAGATGAAGGGCTCAGAGCTCAGAGAGGCTAAGTAACAGGCCCAAAGTTAAACAGCTAGAAATCAGCAGAGCTGGATGCAAAGCGGGGCCTGCCAGAGGCCTGTCAGAAGCGCATTCTTTCATGGTTTTCCGCCCCCTTAGTGATGGAGTGGAGAGCGAGGCGACTGGAGGACACAGGGAGGGAAGAGTTTGATTCTGACCGGGGCCAGGAAGAGGGCTGGTCTCATATGGCTTTGTATTTTAAAAAAGGACATTTGAGCTAGTCTTGAAGGAAATCAAAGGCAGCAGGAGGAGGGAGGAGGGAGGTCCAGGTGGAAGGAACAGCTCCAGCGAGAAGCCATGAGGGGGAAAGTGCAGGGAGTGCCAAACGAGGGAGGTGGACAGTGACCCCACGGGGTGGCCACACCCACTTCCAGCGTTCTCTAGCTGCCAGCCTACCTGCTGCCCACGCTCTCCCCATACCTCCTGCTCCCAGCCACTGGCCTTTCGCTAGTCACTGACCCACAGGGCAGCCACAGAGGGGACCAATGAGGGCCAGCCACCTCTGCCCTTTGCCTAGGTCAGCAAAGGACGCAGACCATCCCATTCCATCCCCTAAACAACTCCCAGGTAAACTGTTCAGCCCGGAATGAAGCCACCCCTTACCAAGGACCCTACCCAGCCCCTGGCGTCCAGTTTAATCACCACCTAATCCCTTAGTGCCTGACTTCCCCTGCAGGTCAGCAGTAAAATCTGAAACCTCCCTATCCAGCCGCCTGGGGGTGGGGGAGGTCCTTAGGGCTCTTGCCTCTGGCCTCACAGCCACCGCAGGCCACCTCTATTCCACCCACCCTTTCCCAGCAGTGGACAACTGCCCTGCTTTGGAGCCTGCAAACACTGAGACTGGGCCCAACAGACTCTGGTTCCAAGAACAGCCAAGCTCCCCTCTTCCTAATGGCAACACAGAAGTGGAGATACAGGTGGTGGGGAGGGGGTGCAGCCTTCGACCTGTTGCCTCCTCCTCGGTCCAGGTGGCAAGGCAAAGCCAGGCTTACCTCCCAGCGTGAAGAGCATCAGCCCAAGTCCCCCCAGCCAAGGAGGGCCGGGATTGCAGGACAGGGCAGGACTTGACTCAGCTCAAACTAACTCCAACCCACTAAGTCACCGGTAGCATTCCAGACCTCCCTCCTCATCACCTGGTCCAACCTCCTCATTTCAGTTCATCAGGGAGCAAACAGATGAAGGACGAGTTCTGCCCAAGGTCACAGAGCGACTTGGGACCAAAGGAGGGGCTATCCAAATACCCTTAGGAGCTGTCCAGGCCCCTTTCCATCGGTGCCACTGCCCCAGGAAGAGGACAACCTCCCGGAAATGGGAGGAAACCTGGGGCCCTGATCCCAGGGCTTGGCTGCCAGTCCCGAAATGAATGTCGCCTTTGTGCCTGAGCTGCCTCCAAGGGCTTCCAAGCAACCACTTTCTCCCAGGTGGTACCTCCAAGGGCTCGTTCGAGGCAGGGGCTAGGGTGGCCAAACTTCCCCGGGGCTCCCTCGACCGGCCGCGGACCGCCAGGTGCTGCCGAAGGCTGCTCCCGCCGCCACCCGCCCGCCTAGGACGGTCTCACGCCTGCCACCCAGACCCTTCCCGGCTCGCCGCCGCCGGAGGGAGAGAGTCGCCGCCCGGGGCGGGGGCGGGCCAGGATGAGGGCTCACCTTGTCCAGAGTCTCCTTCTGCTTGGGGCTCAGGTCACCGACTCTTCCGCTCATCTTGGGTCGGGGCGCGGTGGCTGCAGCAGCTGATGGAGCTCGGGCTCCTTTTCTGCCGCTGAAGTCCCAGCCTTCTTGCCTTTGGCCATGGCTGGCCGCCAAGCCCCGCCTTTTAAAGGATCCCGAAGGGCGGAGCAGCAGATGCTCCGGGCTCGAGCTTCTGACGCGTCCCGCTCACTCTCCTAAAGTCGGTAACTTGGGCAGGAGACGAGCCGGAGCTTCCAAGCTAAGCCAGGGCCCAGGAAGTCTGGGTTCTAGTCCCAAATTTACTCTTAGCTCACAGTGTGGCCTTGGATGAGACATCTGAGCTCTCTGGGCCTCAGTTTCCCCACCTAGGTACTGCCTAATGAGCTCTTCTAAGATCAGGCCCCCTCTAGCACAGGACCCAGCCTCCACCCCAAACTCTAGGGAACTAGGGAACTCCACCCCAAACTCTAGGGTGCCACGGGGCGAGAGGGTGGGGGAGGGTCAGGTCCCCTAAGGCTAGCCACCCCCTCCAGCCTCTGGGAATTGCGGTATTGGCCATTTCTCTTTTGGGCCCTTGCCCTTCTGTTCTGCCCTCGGGTTTGGACAGCTGCTGCTAACCCAGCTTGGAGCCTTTCAGTATTGACAGCCTTTCCCCTCTTGCGGGGGAGTCAGGCCAGGAGGCCAAGGAAGCACAGACCTGGTCTCCCCACCCAGAACCCTGTCCTTTGTTTCTGACCTTCCCAGAACTTTGGGAGCTACTGCTAAGTTGCTCACACCCTCAGCTGGCGTGAAAGAATGCTTCAAAGACCTGAGCTGGAGTTCTAAATCCTCCAGCGGACTTCAGCAAGTGACTTCCTCTCTGAATACAAGCTTCTTCATTTACTCAGTGGATGTAGATGATCTGGACTTCCAGTCAGCAGGAGAGGACAGAGCGAGTTAAATTACACAGTTCACTCAGTGCAGCACCTAGCACAGGGTTCTCCGCCGTTCCCCTCCCTAGGTCACCCTGCACACACTCCCTTTGCTGCCTGCAGGGCCAAGCTTTGACCTCTGGGTGGAGATGCAGGGTGGCCGAGAAGGAAGCCACTGAGAAAGGCAGGCCTGCTGTCACCTTATCTGTTGCCTCACCCCCTTCTCTGTTTATATCCAGTGGCCAGAGCTGTGGGTTCCCCTGTGTACCTACAAGTCTGACTGTGCTGCCATACCCCAACCACAGCCCCTTTCCTCATGGACTGAGCCACTGCGTCCTTTCAGAGCTCCACAGCCCTGCCCCTCTGCCTGGCTCCCCTCCCCTCCACTCTAGTCCTACTCACCTACCATCACATGCCTTGGGTCATTCTTTCCTCCTACTGTGTGCCAGGCCCTAGACACTGGTCTGGGGACACTGAATGAATCAGACACCATCCTGCCATCCCAAAGATAAGACACAGGCACCATCAACTAGAATGCAAGAGCCAGATATATGTCCCAGTACGTAGGAGCTACAGCTTAAAACAGGGGCTGTTTGTTTGGGTTGGAAGAATCATGTAAGTCTCCCGGGAGGAAGTGGCATTGGAGCTGGGACTGAGAATGTGGGGTGGGGAGAAAATAGACTCGTTCATTCCATGATGGCACAACAACATGAGCAAAGTTTTGGTGGTTTGTGGGAAGCATGGCTACAACCAGAGAGGAGAGGAAAGAAGGAGTAGGCAGGAAAGACAGACAGAACCTTGATGTGGCCCCGTTTAGCAGAATTTGTCCTGCTAGACTGTGAGGTCCTGGGGCATAAGGCCCTGTTCTGCTCATTTCTAAATCTGCACAAGCTCTCAATGCCCAGCAGAGTACATTGCACATGAGCTGTTAAATAAATGTATGCTGAGTGAATTAATGAAGGAATGCAAGAATTGTTCCAATAGTCACAGAGCCAGGTGCTGGGGGTGCGCTGGGAAGGAGGCATACGCATTGATCATTCAGGGACCAGGCAGCTCCCCTCACTTAACAGCTATGGAAGCTGAGGCCCAAAGAGGGCATGATTTGCCCCAAATCCTTAGTGGCATGATAGATGTGGAAAGTCTGGCCTGGTGCCTGTTACGTGAAAGATGCTCAGTCATGCCCCGGCTTTACTACCTAGAATTCATGCAGAGCTAAACCCAAGGGACTGTGGGCGCCCTGTCTCTAAGGATGGGCCCCCGCCACTTGCACACTCACATCTCCAGGAGAGTAGAAAGCAGAGCCCCCCCAGGCTCTCAGGGACAGAAGGCAGAGGCGAGCCACAGTGGGCCCATTAAAGACACTCAGGAGGCCTTCACTCTGCACCTGGTGTGGCCCCACCAGAGAGGCCTTTTGCAGGGCAAAGCGAGGAGGTCTCAGGTCAGCCCTGTGGCTGAGGGCCCCCACCCACCTCTGTGTGTTTTCAGGCAGTCCCAGAAGTCCTACCCTAGTTAAGGAATCATCAGTTTCTGGTTTAAGGCAGGGCACGGCTGCCTTCCTTACTGGATATGTGGCTGAGACCTTTATTTAAGACCCTTCCAGGAGCAAGATGTTCCCTTCAGCATGCAGCCTACTCAAAGGAAAATAGAAGAACAACACTTATGTTGGTTTAACACTTGACAGTTTACAAGGATCTAGCTTTTCATTTAAGCCCATGGTGACCCTCTCAGTGAGGAAGGTCCAGTGATTTGTTGAGGAACCTGAGGATAAGAGTACGTGCAGAGCTGGGAATCCAAGTTCCTGGTTTCTGGGCCATTGGCTCCCAGGTGCCTATGGGCCAGGGCATGGACTCACCTGGGAGCTACCTGCAGAGGCTGCCCTGGAAAGCACATGGAAAACATTCACCCAGGAGGAAATAGTCTCCAGCTCCAACCTACCCCACCGTGTGGAATCTGGGGTTATCCACGATAAAGACCTAAGTTAAATACCCCTCCTCCAGTCTGCTCTTCCCAGGTCCTGTGGCTTCCTTCTCCTTCCACCCCTGAACCTTATCTATCTCCAGCCCACTACGGAACAGCTAGTTAATCTGATAATATAAATGCTGGAATAATAATCTGGTAAACTCCTCTGAGCTAGTTACTAAGAGAGTCCCTCCTCCCCATCCTCACCTTTTCTCTAACCCTCAACCCCTGCCCAGCAGTTCTCCTTCCCTGCTAGGTTTGTTGCTCCTCTGCTCAAGACTCTGCAGTGGCTCCCTAGTTCTTTGACTTGCATTCCAGACCTACCCCATTCTCCTCCCAGCATCCTTTGTGGCCTCAACTGCCACTCATTTCCCCTCACACACTTTTGTTTCAGTAGGAGCAGCTTTGTGCTGTCCCTCAGATGCACCTCTGCCTGAGTTGCTGCCCTCACCTGTTCCCCCTGCTAGATATCCCCTGGCCTTCAAAGCCCTGATCCTGCCCTGGCCCGTTGGCTCAGTCGGTTGGAGCATCATCCCCTGCACCAAAAGGTTGTGGGTTCGATCCCTGGTCAGGACACATACTAAGACTGCAGTTTCAATCCCTGGGCAGGGCACGAATGGGAGGCAACCGATCGATGTTTCTCTTTCTCCCCACCCCACCCCCCTCTGATCAATAAACATTTCTTGGAGTGAGAATTTTTTGAAAAAAACAAAAAAAACAAAAAAAAAACAAACCCTGATCCAATGCTGTTTCCAGGAATCTCTCCCTGACCTACCCAAGTCAACATGGCCTCTGACAACCTGCAACCTCTCTCTCCTGACCATGACACTGACTACTTTATGTTACAGTGGTGACTTTCAAGCAGTAGCCTGGCCCAACAGGAAAAGCCCAGCCTCAGGGGTTAGACAGGCCTGACATGAGATCCAGGCCCTGCCACTTGGGATGAGTGTACTGTTTTGTGTACTCTTTGCTGGGAAGGTAGTGTGAATAACTGAAAGCAGGCTGCCGGAGCATAGAGGCAGGGGAAGAACATAGGGTGGCAGTTCTAGCCTCAGGAGTTATTGCCCTCGGGTTGAGATTTGTCTGGGAAGCAGCTCCAGGCACAGACAGGAGCACTGGATGGGCTGCTGGACCAAGTTCTTGAGTAAATGCACTGCAGTGACAATTCAGCGATGAGCACATGGGGGCCTCCTCAGGGCTGTTTGCCCTTGACCTCTGGGTCTTGGACGCCTCTCCTTGAACACAAGGGCATTGACCTCGAGATCAAAGGCCGCCGGGTTCCCTGTCCTCTGATTCTCTGGTGTCAGCGGGAAAGGGGTGGTGCAGAGACTGGCACAGTGAATTGAGCGCTGGGGAGAAGAGTCTTTAAATCCTTCTACAAATATTTGTGGAACACTCTACTTCCACAAGGACAGCAGGAACTCTCTGGAAAGCCCCTGTGCTGGCAGGCGCAGGCGACCATGCAGAAAAGCCCTGACTTGGGCCTCCCGGCTTCCTTGCCTCCTCCCAGCCGTGCTATGTGCGGCTGCCGCTGCCTCAAGTCCTTTTCCCACAAAGTGGGGACGGAATGAAGAAATCAGAGCTACCTGGGACTGCACGGCAGGGCCTCGACAGTAGAATGAGGAAGCAGGGCGATTGACTCACTCCTGTACCTGCTCTCCCCCTCCAGGTAGCCCAGGCTTTGGCTCCTGATCAGACCTGGGAGCCACAGCACCTTTCATTCCTTTGCTCCATAAGCACTGTTTGTGCAATGGGCAGGGTGCCTGGCATGGGGACACCTCAGAGGATGAGGTCAACTAGGCCCTGCCCTCAAGGAGTTCCTGGTCTGTAGGGACTACAGTCAAGGCAACTCCTATACCTGCCCTCCCTGTCCAGTACAGGCAGCCAGTGCCATCAGTCAGAGCGTGGGGGCATCCCAGGTTCCCCTGAGAAGGGATGGCTGAGCAGGAGCCAGCCGCATTACTGAGGAGGCCTTTTCATCTTTTTATTCATACATTCATTCATTCATTCAACATGTATTTAACTGAGCACTGTGCTAATCATGGAGTGAAAAATTGCCCTTGTAGCCCTGACTGGCATGGCTTGGTCGGTTGGAGCATCGTCCAGTAACTGAGAAAGATCGCCAATTCGATCCTGGTTCCATTCCTGGTCAGTCTACATGCCTGCGTAGTGAGCTTGATCCCGGTTGGGGCATTCAGGAGGCAGCTGATCAACGTTTCTCTCTTGCACGATGTTTCTCTCCCTCCTTTCCCTCTCTCTCAAATGAGAATAAAATAAGCCTTAAACACACACACACACACACACACACACACACACACACACACAAAACTGCCCTTGTGGAACTTAGAATATTGGGGGTGGGGAACATTCCCAGAATATGATGGGGCACTGGTCTCTAGGTGACTTCATTCCAGTTGCCAGCAGCGCAAGTTCCCATGGAGCGCACGGCAGCGCCTGGGCCCGGCGCGGGCCTCCCCCCTGCGCAAACGCTGTAAGAGCAGAGAAAGCAGCCCTGGGCCAGCAGCGGAGAGGTCTGGAGCCAAACCCCAGCTCTGTTGGTAGCAGTCACCTGCCTTCTCTGGGTGCCAGTAATCTGGGGAGAAAAGTAATCCTTGTCTCTTTCCCAAGGCCATTGTGAGAATTCCAAGTGAAATAAAGGCTGGAAAAGTGATGGGTGCACAAATGTGAGGATTATTGATGCTATTATGTGTTATTTCTGAAGACACAACAGAATGAGAGAAACTGAGCCCCATCCGGCTCCTCCCCAGGAGCCCAGCTCCTCCTCACTTCCGCAGTCCACCCTGGCTTTGTGAGGACGCCAATCCTCCCCCTGCCCCGCTTCCCACACCCCAACCCCTCTGATTAAGTCCCTTACCCTCCCAGATATCCTCATCTAATCCCTAAGCCCTTTCTCACCAGTCTCCAGTTGTCTCCTGGAGTCAAATCTCTTTAGAATGAGGTGGCCCAGTTCGCTGTGAACAGAGAGGCTGGGGGCAGGGAGCTGGGACTTCAGAACCCCCGCCCCACCCCTGGGGATTGGGGAACTGGATGCAGAGGGTGAAGGGATTGAGAAGTACAGATCTGTAGTTACAAAACAGTCATGGAGACATAAGGTACGGCGTAGGAAAGAGTCAATAGTATTACAGTAATTATGTATGGTGCCAGGTGGGTACCAGAAATATCAGGGGTAACCACTACTCTGTACACCTGAAATCAATACAAAATAATATTGAATGTAAACTGTAATTGAAAAAACTATAAAGTAACTCTGCCAGAGGGTTAGGGAAGGGAGGGCAGGAGAGGCTTGGAGACCCTGCGCCAGCTCTGACATTAGCTGGCACAAGCCTTCGCTTGGGAAGAGCGGGTTGTCATTCCTGTCCCCACGCCCTGCATTCAAGATAGAACGCAGAGTCTACAGCCAGACTCAGTCATTCCGCATTTGAGAAGCCGAACGGCACCCACCGACCCTGCAGCCGACTACCTGGGCCCAGGTCCCGCTCCGCTCACCTGCCAAAGCTACTTGACCCCTTGTTCCTCAATTTCTCATCTGTAAAATGGCAGTGATAATCTTACTACCTTATAACGATGTGATGAGATTACATGAGCCAATTCATGCAAAGGACCTAGGACAGTGTCTGGAACACAGTAAACGTAGCAGCTGTTTTTACTTGAACTTCCTGTTTCATCCCTCAGATACTCTTACCAGTCAGGTCTCAACACCACCTCTCGGAGAGGCCTCCCTTCGCCTGTACCAGAGCCGAGGCAGTCCCCCGGCCCCAGTCACTCTCTAATGTCATTTTGTCTCTTTCATATGGCACTTACCGTGGCCTAAAATTATCTTGCTTGTGGATGCAATTGTGGTTGACTATCAATTCTCAAGGGCAGGGACCACTGCTGGTCATGGTCACTGCTCCATGCCCTGTGCCCGGAACCCAGCAGACACTCAATGTGTATTTGTGGGTATGACCAACACTCTGCCTCCACCATCCCTCCGCTCTGTAGCCCTCCCCACCCCCCGCCCCGCACCCCACAGTTACACTGCGGCTACTCTGCACCTGTCCTGTGTGATCTTGGGTGAGTCTCCACCCCTCTCTGGGTGTCTGGAGGGAAATGGTGACTGAACTAGGCAACCAAGGGACAATCTAAGATTTCTTTAAGACAATTTGTGATATGTCCCGAGGCTCATGCCTAGAGTGAAGAGCTCTCAGCCCCTCAGCTTAACCCTTCCTCGTTGTCACTGGGCCTGAAGTTCCCAAGGCGAGTGTGTCCCTGTGAGCTAGGCATTGCCTCCCTGAAGTCCCCCTTGGTCAAAACAGCAGAGCCCAACGCTGAGCTCCCGCATGGCCCCTTTTCCTGTGGACTAGCCTGCCACCTAGTGGCCACTTGTCTACATTAGCCCCCTGCATCGTAAAGGGAGCCAAGGTTCAAGCTCATTGCAGCAGGCTCCTGTTCCGAATATGGATTTCCCTGCCCTTCAGCCTCCTGCCAGCACCTCCACCCGTGGGCTCATGGAATGCCTCGCTCGTGTTCATGCACAGCCTGGCGCCATATTGAAGAATGCATTTCATGCCTAGGGAATTCACCAGCCTTATCACACACCACATTCCTGGTACTGAGGCTTAAACATTTCATCATCCCTACCTTGTTCCTGTTTGGGACAACATGCTCCATGACTCACACTTTAATTAAGAGCTTCATTTCTTCCTAGGTCCCCCACAACTTTAGGATGTGAGGAGGGATGGGGCAGTGGGTGCCCCATACAGTTCACAGCCCAGCCCCGGGCCAGGTAACCTTGTATTCTAAGACACAAGCCCCACTTGGAATTACAGCATGTCTGTTGAAAGGAGCCTCTCCGCCTCCACAAATCTTTTAGTCCAACTCCCATTTTACAGTTGAACACAGGCCAAGAAAAAGGAATTGGCTTGTCTAGAGGTATGTGGTGAGAGAGTGACAGCCCCATCCCTGCCAGGTCCCCACCCAGCCCGGGACGCAAAAGGAGCTGGGACCTGGGGGCTCAGCTCCCTGACTGAGCACTCCGCCTGCCCCTCTGGGAGCCTGGCGGCCTACCTCTTCTCCCAGCTGGGATCCCTCCCTTCCCTCAGGGGTCCCCTGGCCTCCCCTGCCTTAGATGCTCTGTTCCCAAGCAGGGCTTGGCCTGGCACTCACCTTCCCGAAGTCAATCTCGGGCCCTTTGCTGCGCTGCCCCTGAGCTTAGACTCCCTCCAGCAGCAACTTCCACCTTTACTGCTTCTCCTCCAGCCCCGCTCCCACCGCACCCCAGGCAACAGCAGAAGGCCTGGGCTGGGCTGCACCTTCCCACACTGAGACTACATCCTCGAGTACAGTGGTACCTCGGTACTCATCGCTAACTCATTCCGGAACACGAGACGAGTGCAGAAACCTATGGATACCGATGAAGCGTTTTCTTTTCGGGGGTGGTGTTGTGACTCATACAAGTTCTAGCCAGTGTGACAAGTCCTGAGCAAGCGCTGAGTGCTGAAACATTTTTTTCTCATCAAAATACGACAAGTTCAGGGTTTGATGAGTTCTGAAGCCAGCAAGTACCAAGCTATGACTGTACTTGTCTCTTCCAGGATAACCAAGGGTTACCCTGTAGGAGGCGACCACAGGGTAATGAGTCTGGTTACTCACCAGGTTCACAGGGGCCCTCTGGCTCCCACTGATGGAAGGCTAGGATGTGTCTATTTGTGGGGAAACAGAAACGCTTTCTAGGCGGGGGACCAGTGTTAGCAAGGATATGTGTCTGGTCGGTGTATGAGTGTTGGTGAGGTAGTGAAGACCCCCTGCGTGGCTGGGGGGTAGGAGGCAAGTAGTGGGAGTAGATATAGGCAGATGGTGAGGCCAACAGACAGGCTAATTACAGGGTGTGACCTTGCAACCTTGTCATTGGGGCTGACAGATGGGCTGGGAGATCCACAGAACTGGAGATGCAAGACTCTCCCATGGACACCAAGGGGCCTCTAACTCATGAAGAGTGATCTCATACATACAAAAGAACGTTAGTAACTTACACAAAGAATAAAGAACGATATAATGAACACTCGTGTGACTTAAAAAGCAGAACGTCACCAACACCATTGGTGCCCCTAGGTGCCCCTCCCAATGACATCTCACTTGGGTGGAGTGAACTCAGCGTTTTTCATTCCCTTGATTTTCTTTATAGTTGTGTTACATGTGAATGTAATTCCTAAAAAATATAGTTAGTCCTGCATCTTTCTTTTTATTGAAGCGAAATTCACATAACACAAAATTAACCCTTTAAAGAAAAACTGCAATGAGCTTCATAATGTTGTGCAACCATCACCTCTATCTAGGTCCAAACATTTTTATCAGCCTGAAAGGAAATCCTGTATCCATTAAGCAGTCACTTACCATTTCCCTTTCTTCAGCCACCAGTCTGCTTTCTGTCTCTACAGATGTACCTATTCTGGATATATGATACAACAATACGTGTCCTCTTGTGTCCGGCTTATTTCATCTAGTGTAATGTTTTCAAGGTTCATCCATGTGGTAGCATGTGTCAGTATTTCATTACTATTTATGGCTAAATAATATTCCATCATATGGACATACCAGATTTGTTTATCCATTTATCCATTGATGAACATTTTGGTTGTTTCCACTGATGTATGAATATCTGTTCAAGTCCCTGCTTTCAATTCTTTGGGGTATATACATAGAAGTGGAATTGCTGGATCATACGGTAATTCTATGTTTAATCTTTTGAGGAACCACCATTTTACATTCCCACTGGTCACCAGTTCTGAGCTAATTTTTGAGTATGGTATGAGTTACGAGCCTAACCTTTTTCTTTTGCATGTGGATGTCCAGTTGTCACAGTATCTGTTAAAGAGGCTGTTCTTGACCTTGGCCCCTTCAATGTTGTTGAAAAGCAATTGGCCATAGACGTCTGGGTTTATTTCTGTCAATTCTATTCCATTTGTCTAATATCTGTCTTTATGCCTGTACTACACAGTTTTGACTACACTGTTTTGTACCATACAGTGTACTACACTGTAGCTTTGCAGTTTTAAAATTAGACAATGTGAGTCCTCTTTGTTCTTCTTTCTTCTTCTTCTTCTTTTTTTTTTTTAAATTCAGTATCCGTAGAGACTGTCAAAAATTGCCAATGACAACTATATTTCAAGTTGTCATGGCAGGGTATTGGGACAGTTTTCAATTAGCAAAAATCACACCTTGGATGATCCTCATTGGCTATGATACTGCCACTGCACAAAGTTTGTTCTTCTTTTTACAATATGAGCTATTCAGAGCCCCTTGCAATTTCACATAGACCTTAGAGTGGGCTTTTCCATGTCTTCAAAAAAGGTCATTAGAACTTTGGTAAGGATTGAATTGAATCTGCAGATTGCTTTGGGTAGTTTTGCCACCTTAACAAAATTAAATCTACCAATTCATTAAGATGGATGTCTTTCCATTTATTTAGGTCTTCTTTGGTTTATTTAAACAATGTTTTATGGGTTTCAGTGTGTATGTCTTTCACCTCCTTGTTTCAATCTGTCCCAAGTATTTTACTCTTTTGGATACTATTGTAAATAGAATTGTTGTTTGAATTTCCTTTTGGATTGTTTATTGCTGGTGTATAGAACACAACTGATTAATCTCATAAATCCTGATGGTTTTGAGCTTCAGTAGAATGTCTTATTTTGAGACTTGCTTTTTGTGCTCAGCATTGTTAGAATATCCATGGTGAGAAAGACAAATACCATATGATTTCACTTACATGAGGAATTTAAGAAACAAAATAAACGAACAAGCAAAACAGAAACAAACTCAGAGATACAAAGAACAAACTGATGGTTGCCATATGGGAAGGAGTTGGGGGGATGGGTGAAAAAGTTGAAAGGGATTAAGAAGTACAAACTGCCAGTTATAAAAATAGTAATGGGCCCCTGGCTGGTGTGGTTCAGTTAGTTGGAGCATCCTCCTGTAACAGAAAGGTTGTGGGTTCGATTCCCGGTCAGGGCACATACTTAGGCTATGGGTTTAATTTCCAGTTTGGGTGTGTATGATCCCCAGCCCTTCTCTCTCACATCGATATTTCTCTCTCTCTCCTTTCCTCTCTTTCTTAAATCAATGAGAAACTGTCCTCAGGTGAGGATTAAAAAATAAAAATAAAAACAAAAATAGTCATGGGGATATAAGGTACAGCATAGGGAATATAGTCAATAAAATTGTAATGATTATGTATGGGGTCATATGATTTTAGACTTATCAGGGTGATCGCTTTGTGAGTATATAAATATCTAATCACTATGTTGCATACCTGAAACTAATATTATATGTCAACTGACATTGGAAAATAAAATTTAAAAATAAATAACTATCCACAGCTAAATACATAACTAATTCATTCATTTTTTTCTATTGTGTTGTATTCTATACATGAAGTTACCACAGCTTATCTCTTCCAGGGATAGAGAACTGGGCTGTGTTCAGTTTTTACAGGGCTGTTCTGCACATACCCAAGAAATGGTTCTCAACCAGGGCTGCACATTGAAGTCACTTGGTTGAGCATTGGAGCAAGTTTTTCTGGTTTTGTTTTTTTTTTATCACTTCAAGCAACAAGTTCCCACCTCCAGAGATAACAATTCAGTTGATTTAGAGTAGAGGTTGGGTATCAATATTTTGTAGAAAATCCTTAGATGATTTTAATGTCAATCTCTGTTGAGACCACTGCTCTCAGCAGGAGTGGAATTACTGAGAATGTGCATTTGGTTTTATTTGATGTAAAATAGTTTCCAACATGGCTATACAACCAGGCCGTATGCCCATCAGCATTGTATAGCGTCCATTGCTCCACATCCCTAGCAACAGTTGACATTGTCCAACTCTTAAATTTTTGCCAGAGAGGGTCTAGGAATACTAGGCTAGATGGAGCAGGCCAGACACTGTTCCTCAATGGGGCTAGTGTTTTAATTTGTATTTCCCTGATTAGGCTGAGTATCTTTTCATATTTATTGACCATTCTTGTTTCCTCTTCTGTCAAATGCCTATTTGCATCTTGTAGCCCATATCATGTATTTATATTTTCTGCATACGAATCATTTGGGTGCAAATAACTTTGCCCAGTTTGTGGCTTTCTTTGCCACTTTATTACAATGTTTTGATTAACAGGAGTTTTTAATTTTATTATTGATAAGTTTTTTTTCAATCTTTGCCTTTATAATCTGCTTTTCTGTATTAAGAAATATCTCCTGATCTTAAAGTAATCAATATAGTCTATGTTTCTTTCTGATAATGTTTAAAGTATGACTTTTCATATTTAGATCTTTAATCTACATGGAATTGGTATTTTGTGTATGATATACAGTAGGGGTCCAATTTAATTTATTTTCTTACAATTAATCCATTTTCTTAGCACAATTTATCAAACAGTCCATCATACTTCCTCCTTCCCTCCCCTCGAGTTGCTTCCTCTGACATACTCATGTCTATGCATCTCAGCTTCTGTTTGATGCCCCATTTGTCTGTCTTTGGGCTAATATCAGGCCATCTTATTCTCTCCGTCTTATTATTCTGGAGCATCTTGATGATTCAGTTGATGTTGGTGGTTATACTGGTGTTCACTGTGAGAGTCTTTAATTTTCCTGTATGTTTGATATCTTTAATAATAGAGTATTAGAGAAAGGAGGGTCGTGGCTCATCTGGCTTTTGCCTTTTTATCACAGTGCAGATTTTTTCAATATTTAACTTTTATTATATTTTTTCCATTACCATTTAGTCCCCTTAACATTCCTCTCCCCCTCACAGTGCAGTTTTTAAAAGGCTTTCAGACTGAGTCTGCTCTTAGCAGCTGTAACCGTTGGAGAAAGGGACGAGTTTTAGGACATTCCGGTAGGTGTCAGAAATTACTAATTGGGAGAGTCTTACGTTGTGCCCATTTCACGGCTCAGGAAAGCGACTTCCCCAAGGACCCAGCCTTTCCGCTCTCTGTCACTCCCAAGATGCTTGCCTCAATCTCTACCGTCTGCCTCCCATGCCATTCTCTGGTTCTCTGCCTTCTGGAGTTCGGTCTGGAGGAGAAACAGAGGATCAAGGAAGAGGGGGTTACGATTTGGCCCAGGCCACACTGTGGGCCACTGCAGCCTCCAAGCCCCTAGACATCCCTCCTTCCTGCCCTTCTGCAGCCCTGATTGTATTTCCGCTCCCTATCCCCCGTCACCCCTTCCACACAAGTCACCCCTTTCAACCATCTCTCTTGCTCTTCTCTGTCCTGTCTCGGCTTCTGACAATCCAACAGCCTGTGAACACCTTCTCTCTGATTTCGCTCTTCAGCCACAGTGACCCGAAATCCGCTCTGCTGTAGCCCTCCCGGGTCGCCTGCTCCGGAGTTCCCCGCGACCACGAGGGGGCGCGCGTGGCCTGGCCTGAGCGCCCAAGCCTCCGAGAGCCTACCCTGCTCCCTGTGCCCCGCCCCGTCCGGCCACAGCCCCGCCCCCTCTCAGCGCCCCGCCCCGTCCGGCCGCGGAGTCCCTCCCTCTGCTACCCCTCGCACCCGGGACCCCCCGGACCCTTGTCTCGTCTGCTTGCTGGGTCCGGCAATGGGCCCCACTGCCCGCCCCGCGCTGAGGTCGCCTTCGCCACCTCCTCCTCCGCCGCCGTCGCCGCTGTTGCTGCTACTGCCACTGCTGCCGCTCTGGCTCGGCCTGGCAGGGCCCGGGGCCGCGGCTGACGGCGGCGAGCCCGCAACTGGTGCCGAGCGGGGAGGGGCCCGCGCTGTGCGAGTGGACGTGAGGCTGCCTCGGCAAGACGCTCTGGTCCTGGAGGGCGTCAGGATCGGCCCCAAGGCCGACCCAGCGCCCCCGCTGGGCGGCCGTCTGCTGCTGGTGAGCGCCGCTGAGCCATCTGGCCCTGGCCGCCACGTAGACCCCCGCACCCAGAACCGGCCTTCTTCCTGGACCAAGACCTGGCAGTCCAGCGCCCCTTCCCCAGGCTGCCCAGGCCCCCAGCCTTCCTTCCGGCTTCCAAAACCTGGGATCCAGATGCTTTCCCCTCCAAACTTGTTCTCAGACCCTGGCCTTGCATCCCTGTGTGCCTGATGCTCCTAACTTCCTCTCCTCCCCCTGCCTGTGGCCCCTTGCCCCACAGATGGACATCGTGGATGCTGAGGAGGAGGTGCCGGTAGATGGCTGGATTGCAGTGGCATACGTGGGCAAGGAGCAGGAGGCCCAGTTCCATCCGGAGAGTCAGAGCAGTGGCCCCCAGGCCTATCCAAAGGCCCTGGTCCAGCAGGTGCAGGGGATGTATGCGGGGAAGGGGGTTGAAGAAGGGGGGTTCAAGGCATTTGCCAGAGGCAGACTACCAAGTGGAATCCTTCAGAGCTTCCAGAAAACCCTTGGGTCTGGGTGGGGAAAGAGACCTCAGTTTGGAAAATTGAGTCAGTATAGTGTGGAAACAGGTTGGGGGAGGCCAGAGTGAGTCAGGAAACTCCACCAGGCCCTGAGAATATCCAATGGGGAGTTCCTGATGGGAGTCGATGGCAGGCCTGCCCTGCTAGGACCAGGGAAAGCACAGCATTGTTTGGGTCCCACAGAGCCTTTGGGGGAAAGGCAGAAGGAATAAGGGTTTCTGTTCTTAACCTCAAGGAGCTTATAACCAGTCTGTCCAGGAGAAGGGAACACTGCAGTGCCAGGACCTAAGAATAACTGTGGCGACAGGTGTATTGGTGAGGTGCAGGTAGGATGTGGACTAGCTTCTATCTCTGTCCTGCAGATGCGGCGGGCGCTCTTCCTGGGAGCCTCTGCCCTGCTCCTCCTCATCTTGAACCACAACGTGGTCCGAGAGGTAAACTGATTGAGGCTTTGGGGGCACACAGGCTGGGGGATGGGGGACCAAGGCCAGCTGACATCCCTGTTTCCCTACAGCTAGACATTTCACAGCTTCTGCTCAGGCCAGTGATCGTCCTCCATTATTCTTCCAACGTCACCAAGCTGTTGGAGGCACTGCTGCAGTGAGTTGGGGTTTGAGTTCCAAAGGGCTGGGCCTGGGAGCCTAGGTGTTGAGGATCCCTGTCTTTACCATGGGCTCAGGGGTCTTGGGACCGGGGCCTTTCCTATTATCCTTAGGACTGATCTGAAAAGTGGGTGAGGAGACACAGGAGTTCCTCACGGCCAGGCAGGGTCTGGCATGAGGAGATGGCTCTGTGAGCTGAAGAGGATTGGCCCTGGCAAGGAGGAAGCTGACTTCTGATTGACAGGCTCTTCCCTGGGCTTGTGGGCCTCCCTGGCCTGGCTGATATGAATGGGAAAAACCTATAGATGGGAAAGACCTGGGGGCCAAAGCAGAAGGGCTGCACAGTGATACTTGGCGTGTGCGGGGCTCTGGGCCTCGTCTCCCAAGAGCCCTTCCATCGGGCTCCTCAGTGGCTTTCCCTCCCAGGAGGACCCAGGCCACAGCTGAGATCACCAGTGGGGAGTCCCTGTCGGCCAACATTGAGTGGAAGCTGACGCTGTGGACCACCTGTGGCCTCTCTAAGGATGGCTATGGCGGATGGCAGGACTTGGTGTGCCTGGGAGGCAGTCGGGCCCAGGAGCAGGTGGGTGCTTGGGAGAGGTCGGTGCTTGGGTGGGCCCGCACACATGCCCTGTCTTGAATCCCGTAGCCTCTCCCTGCCTGGGTGGAAAGGGCTGCCTCTTCCACCTCCCAGAGCTATTGTGTGTGTTCAGTGACACGGTGGGTATTCGGTATGGTGCCTGATCCGGGGTCATGCACAATCAATGACTGTTGCTGTTGTCATGTCATTCTTTCACTCAGAAGCCTTCTTTGGCTCCCCATTGCCTGCAGAATAAAGTTCAGCCTCCTTAAGCTGGCTCTCACAGCTCTCCTGATCACTTGCTTTTTCCTAATATTCTTACACTCCACCACCTTGTGCCATTTACTGGCCTTCACACACACCCTGGTCTCCTGCCACTAAACCCTGCCCATGCCTTCTGCAGGCATGGACCCCTTATTCTCTGTCTCCATATGCCCCAATCCAGCCAGAGCCCTCACAGCTCATCCTGCCTGCCTTCTTTGGAAAGCACCCTAAGACCCTCAGCTCCCAGTCCCTCTCTCCCTCTTCTAAATCACAGCAGCACTTTGTGAGACCCTTCATAGGGCCCTCAGGACAGCCCGTCCTGTATATGTTGGAGAGCATGACCTTGTCTCCTCAAGACTGGGGTGTGTCTTATTTGTTTCTGGATTCCCCAGTGCTTGGCATCAGAGGGTTCAAAGGTATTCTGTCTGCAAGCATTTCTCAAGTCCCTACTTTGTGCAGGGTGGGCGTACTCCATGTGGTACGCAGCCTCCAGCAAGTGTCTGAGGACATGGGCCGTGCAAGGCAGCTCAAGTCAGGCAGACTTAGGTTCAGGTCCTGGCTCTGAAATCTTAGCTGAGTGATCTCAGGCTGAGTGTTTAACCTCTCTGGTCTCATGTTCCTCATTTGTGAACAAAGATAGCACATGGCCACAGGATTGTCAGGGAACTGTGTAGGCAAAACTCACGGTAGGCACTGAGCAAATGGGCAGCTACCGCTACTCTGAATATCTTTATTGCTTAAGTGCTTGATTAAATAAGCAGTCACCAAGTAACTTTTGAGATCCTCGGGCACTTGGGACTCTATGGGACGGGCTGTGGAGATACAAAAGGCTGTAGGACCTGGGCTCTGCCCTTGAAGGGCTCAAAGACAAGCAGGGAAGAGGAGCTCTTACCCAAAGGAGGCCTTGGAAGTTCAACCCAGACAGCACGTACTAATTCCTGTGTGCACTCCCTTCTGTGGAGGGAGGAGGTGCTGAGGCTGCAGGGAATAGAAGGGATTTCTAGAAAAGAAGGGAACCCCACTGTACCTCCTCTTGGAGGGCAGCCCACACAGACCTCTGGGCGGGACAGACATTTGTCTATCAGTTGAGAGGCCGGGAGGAGGTTTGGGCACAGAGGATAGAGCTAGAGGAGGAGCAGCCTGGGAGCGGGCCTGAGAGGTCTGCAGGTCAGTCTGGCTGGTACAGAGGGCAAAGCTGAGCAGCCATACCGCTGGCCGGGGTGGGCCAGGCAGGTGCTGGGTGGCTATAGGAGCTGAGGTGTCTGAGGGCTGCGGGGGCCATCTCTCAGCTCCAATGCCAGGGCCCCGTCAGCACCCCCCAGCCCCTGGGAATCAGCTGCAGCACTGGTGTATCAGAAAGGTCCGGTGAGCCACAGCCTTACTGCTCTGATAGACAAGCCCCAGCCCCACCTTCCCTCTTCACCTGGAGGTCCCCGAGACGCACTGAGCCTGGGGAGGCCAGTGTGTCTTGAAGCCAGCCATGCCTTCGGTCCACCCAGCGCTCACTGGTCCGCGCCAGGTCACGTAGCTGCAGGTTCTGCCCAGAGAGCTTACACTGCAGTGGCCACTCAGTGAGCCCTGCCACGTGTCAGCCTAGCTCAGCATGGCAGGGGGCACGAGAGCAGGCAGCTCCAGCCCTGGCTCGTGGGGTCCCCCTCTGGGGAGGATGTAGGCCAGAGATGCTGCCACTCTGCTGGGTTTAGTGCTGAGCTGGCGGTGGCACAGGCCTTCTGGGGCATAGTGAAGGCGCCTGAGCTTGGCTTAGGTTTGTAGGGAGAGCTTCCTGGAGCAGGTGCCACCACCCCACCGTGGATGGATGATGGGGACACAGAAACCAGCGGGGAGAGGAAAGGACAGAGCGGGGAGCTGGGACTCACAGATGCCTCTCAGCAGCGGCCCCCAGAGTGCCTCTGCCCTGAGTAAAAGCAATGTCTTATGACACTAGCAGCACCCAACCTTGTCCAGAGTAGTGGCCTCTTTTAACAACAAATAATTTCTTGGTTCCTCTGCCCCCGCATGGTGGTAGTTGAACTTCAGCATAGACTGGGGAAGAACATGATGGCAGAAAGCTACTAAGAATGTAGAAAGCCTTTAAGTGAATGTGTTTATTAGTCATCACACACCCACGGACGCTGTGGAGCAGCGGGCCGTGCGGTGAGCAGGCCGGGTTTTGCTCACAACGCCGTATCATTTCCTAAGCCAGCTGTTGAGTAGTCAAAGCCTCGCTGCCACACTGCATACGGTGGGAGTGAAGTCAGGGCAGTCCCCCAGGAACTGAGCCCCCCACACCCACCCCAGGGCCTCTCAAAGACTTGAGTGAGGCACGTCAGACATGGCTGGGCAGGGGTGGCAAGCAGGGGAGCATCTGTCCAACCCTGGTGGTCAGGGATTGCTTCCAGAGCAAGGGGTGTCTAAAGACATTAGCCAAGGGAAGGGGTCAGGAAGAAGAGGGTTCCCAAGAGGGACACAGTGTATGGAAAAGCAAAGACATAAGACGGGACAATGAGCAAGGGACACTGAGAGGAGGAAGGGCTGGGAGTTTGAGGGCCTTGAGGGGCAGGCTGAAGGGGTTTGGGTTTTTTCCTGTTGGCGGGGACGGGGATGGTAAAAAAGGAGGCCTGTTAAAGAAAGGTGTGGGGGTGGGGATCAGGTCACAGATGAGATGCCTGCGGGGAAACGGGTGGGTGAGGCAGGAGCAGGGGACCTAAAAGGCAGTAGAGAAGAGGGCGGGAGAGGAGGGCGATGAGACCCCTAGGAGAGCGAGGCAACAGTCCCTGGGGACTGGTGCCCTCTCAGAGGGTGTGTGAATGCTCAGCCTGGACGGAGGTGGGATGGTGGGTGGGTGACGGGGGCTAGAAAGAGGACCAAAGGGCGGGTCACAGGGTCCTGGGTTGGGGAGTCTGTGAGGCTGCCCAACAGACACTTCCATGAGTGCCAAAACAACGGGGTAGCTGCTCAGAAGAGGCCTAGGCTGGGGACAGCTGTGGGTCCCCTCACTGTGGAGGAGGGAGCATAGACAGCTTGGCAGACCCTGGGACGGAGGCTTCAGAAGAAGCCAGGAGCCTGGTGCTGAGGGACACAGTGCCCATGGACCTCACCTGCCCGGTCCTTGCGGTGGATTTACTGAGGGAAGAGGGTCGGGTGGCCCAGCGTCCCTGACACCCTGCTCCCCTCCGCAGAAGCCCCTGCAGCAGCTGTGGAACGCCATCCTGCTGGTGGCCATGCTCCTGTGCACAGGCCTCGTGGTCCAGGCCCAGCGGCAGGCATCCCGGCAGAGCCAGGGGGAGCCCGGAGGCCAGGTGGGAGCCAGCCCAAGGGAGTCCCGGCGCCCCCAGCCCTCGGGCCTGCCGAACTGTACCTGCCCTTCCCCCACAGGTGGACCTGCTCAACCGCCGCGTGTTGCAAAGACTGGCATCCCTCAAGACCCGGCGCTGCCGGTTGGGCAGGACGGCACAGGGTCCCCCGGAGACTGGTGCCGAGACCTGCGCCGTGTGTTTGGACTACTTCTGCAACAAACAGGTTAGCGCCCTAGGCGGAGGCCAGTCATTGTTCCTGTGATGTTCCCCAACCTGCTCCGGAGGCCTGGGAACCACCCCAACCAGGCCCTTCGCTTCTACCCCTAAAAGCAGGATAGAAAGCAGGATGCGGGAGGGGGCAGGCCACAGGGGTTTTAGTTCTCTAGCTCAGGTGAGGACACGGGGCCAGGCACCCCCACTTGGAGGCCTGTCACTGGGGCCTGAGCCCTCCCCCCCACCTCACAGTGGCTCCGGGTGCTGCCCTGTAAGCATGAGTTTCACCGGGACTGCGTGGACCCCTGGCTGATGCTGCAGCAGACCTGCCCACTGTGCAAATTCAACGTCCTGGGTGAGCATCAAGGGTGGGGGCCCTTGGCTGGCTCCACCTGGTGCCCACCTGACACCTCCTCCCTGTTATTCTTCCTCCTCCCTGCAGGCAATGGCTACTCAGATGATTAGCTGCCCCAGCTGGGTCTCTGAGCATGGAGATGGGGACCCCCTCCTCCTGCCCGTGCTCCGGCTCTCAGCCGGGGCTCTTGGAACAGGATAGTGGGATGGACAAGACAGAAAACCCCGTGAGTGGGAGGAGGGATACGGGCTTCCCCTGCTGAGGAGCAAGGGACCCCACCACTTCCACTCTGGCCAAGAGGTGCCCACATCCCCCAGGCCGAGGATGCAAGGCCCAGGCCTGCTGGGAAGTGAGAAAGAGAGGCCCCGTGGGGCTCTTTTGTACCATCCTGAGTTGTGTGTCTGCCTTCCTTAAAGGCAGCTCCCAGAACCCTGGGCAGGGGCCTGGGGAAAGAGGACGTGAGCAGCACAGCTGCTCCCAGGGCTCTGGATGCTCTCTGGCCTGCCTGTGAGCACCTCCTGGGGGCGGAGGCTGCCGTAGCCAGTTTCGTGCTTATTTATTGGGGGTGGGTTAGGGGAGGAGCTGTCTGGCCTCAGGGGCACCCTGGTCTGACCGTCTTTCAGAACACATCTTGGTCAAGGCTGTGATGTTAAACCCAGAGGCCTACGACCCTCGGTCCTTGGGCACTAGGAGCCACGTGTCCCACTGCCTGTCCAGCTGGGCTCCCTTCCTGGCCTGGTTGAGACAAGAGGCCTTAGAAACCATCCAGTCCTGTGCTTCTCAGTGGGGCTATGGCTTGCTGACCAGGATACTTGAAGCCACAGGATTAACGTGGTGCATCTTCCAAAGGCATCCTTTCCTTTTTTTTTTTTTTTTTTTTTTTAGAAGTTTTGGGGTAGGGGAGGTTTAATATTAAAATAAACATGGATATATTTTAACATAAGAAGTAAAACGTGTGAATGTTTTAAGATAAAAACAAATCACCTTGGGCTCTACTGCCTATGTGAAGCGGATTATAAGACAGCCCCCAAGACTCCCCCCCACCCCCATGAACAAGCCTGTATAACCCTGGTACTATGGCACTAATGGACTTGACTCCCACGATTAGGTTATGTTATGTGGCTCCGTGGACCTTGAGGGGGAAAGTATCCAAGCAGGCCTAACCTAACCACATGAGAAATTCTTTGTTGCTGACCTGAAGATGGAAAGGGCCATGTGGCAAGGAAGGCTGTCTGCCTCTAAGAGCTGAGCAGTCCCAGCTGACAGTAGCTAGCAAGGAAATGGACCTCAATCCTACAGCTGCAAGACTATTCTGCCAAGGATCAGAAGGAGCCTGGATGCTTCCCCAGAGTCGCCGGAATGCAACGCAACCTGGCAGACCCTGAGCAAAGAATCTGGCCACACAAGGCCTGGACTTCCAAACCACAGAACTGTGAGCTAATCTGTGGGTGCAGAAAGGAGCTGAGCTGTGACAGGTCCTTCCCCTGCACTCAGACCCAGGCCTCCTGCTGCAGGGAGCCCCCAGCCTCCCTCAGGAACCCCCAGGCTCCACAGGAGCAAGAGTTGGACAGACGCGGGCCATGCCAGTTCAGCTGCACACACGGCCTCTCTTGACCCTTCTCTATAAACGGCGGTGCCCTACCTGCTGGCATCAGCAGGGGAAAATATCGTAGGAAGCTGGGAGCACCCACACTGAGAAGTCCTCAGCAAGGTGTTAGGGTCTGTCCCTCACATATGAGGTGAGCCAGGAAAGACTGGAGGCTTCATGAGAAAAACTGGACTTCACCTGGAATGGCTGGTGGCATAAATGCCTGGGCCCTCGGGTTGGTTGAGGCCTTGCCCTGCTTTCACGGGCATTCTGGGGATCCCACCTCCTGGATCTAGAGAAACCCTCTGTAGCTTACCTTTCCTGAAGAGGAGGAGTTCCTCAGAGAAAGGAGGGCTAATTTTCTTAGGTTCTTAATGTCCCCACCCCCAAGTCCAGACCTGGAGATGGGGAAGGTGTCATTGCCCTCTGCCAAAAGCCCAGAGCAGGGACCCCAGTCTCAGACTGCTTTCTTGTCCTAGATATCCCCATTGGGCCCACCTCAAACTGCCCTCCATCCCTGCCGACCCCCTTCATTGATCCTGCCCCTTGTGGGTGGGGATGTCACTAAGTCCATGCTACCCTTTGACTCTTGTTATAGGGATCAAAAGATTGACTTTCACCTGGCCCAGGTGCTAGAAGCTTCTTTTTGCCCTCTTCTCCCATTGCCCATCAGGAGCTCCCATTACTGAGGATCCGGGATGTGCTAGGCCACTGCTGGTGGATGATCTGCGATGGTGGGGGACTCGGGTCCTTGCCCAGGTCGGGGAAGGAAGGACTCTGCTCCTGGCTCAGGCAGTGCTGTGAGGCCAAGGTCGCAGTGGGTGGGTGGCCAGGGCTTTATTATATTGGATGGGTTGCCAGCCCTCCAGCCCCACCCCACTGCAGGCTACATGGGCCGCTCCTGGGGCTGGTGTGCAGGGCCAGCCTGACCTCGGGTTGGTGACAGTCTCCTCCTCAGCCTAGCCAAGACCCGGATGGGGTTCTGGGCACAGGCGGTTGAGTAGGTCACATCTTCCAGGGAGGATTTGCTGGGCTGGCCACAGGACTGCGCCCAGGGCTGTCTCGGCGGGGTCCTGCGTGCACTGGCAGACCTGCTGCCAGGTGGGTGCTGCCTGCCCAGAGGCCTGACGGAGGACAAGACAGCAAGAGCCCCGGTGAGCAAGAAGGACCAGCTCAGCCCCTGTCCGCCCCGACTCTGGCAAAGCCTCACTTACCCTGGGGAAACTCTCTGGGCCTGGACTGCAAGTGCTGCCCCCTGGATTCCCAGGCTGGTCCGGGTGCAGAGCTGGTCCTGTGGGATCAGCTGCAAGGAAAGCCAAGCTCAGAAAAGCCCAGGAGGCCCCTCTCCACAGTTCAGCGAGGGGAGCACAGCCAGACAGGGTGAGGGGAGGCCCAAGCCTGTACCTAGCTAGGGCCCCTTCCTCTGAAGGGCAGGGTTTGGGAAGCCTTCCAGGGCCGCTTCAGCTGCAGTAATGTGGGAAGGTTTGCTTTCTGATAAGGCTCCTTGTTTCACTTGCAATAAAAGTATGAAGGGCTGGTGTGTGTGTGGCGGGGGTGGGGGGCAGGTGGCAGGCACATGGGTAGTGCGGATTTGGAGCTAGAAGGCACTGTAACATCCTCTTATCTCCTTAGAATGTCCAAGATGTTTCACAACAGTGCAGTCTAAAGCCACATGTGATGAGGTGGGCTCTCAATATGATCCTGGGTGGTGTCTGAAGACCTCAGCTGGATCAGGGCCTTCCCCAAGTCCCCAAGGGCCAGCCCTCTCTGGTGAGGACCCAGGCTGCCCACCTTGAGGCCCCCCTGATGGGCTACTTCCCGAATTTTGGACAGCGTCGACTGGAGCCGCCCATTCTCCTCCTGCAGGACCCGGATGCGGATGTTGTTGGCCTGCACCTGCCTCTCCATGTCGTCCGTGACATTGCCAGAGCCTGTAGGGATAGGCTATCTGGCACCTCGCCCCACCAGGTCTGCCTCTTATGCCCAGTAAGGCAGGACCTTCGAGGGCAGGCATGGGATGGTGGCCCAGCAGGCACAGAGGAGCTGGGCAGGACCAGTGTACTGGGCCTCCCATCTCATCTTTCTTCTGAGGCCTTGTCCTTGCTCCCCATCCCCCTACCTGCTGAAAGGCGATCTTAGCATTTTAGAATTTGAGAACACGTGGAAATTAAGGCTCACTGAACACTTAGCAAATAGACAAGGACTGTTTTTGGAGGGCCAGAGAGACAATAAATTGTCCAGTCACACAGCCGTTCTTGGGTATGAATGAGGAATTCAGCAAGGAAGTTCTTTCCCCCTACTTGGGGGATGGATGCTCAGACAACCTGGGCAAGTCTCTGCTCTCTCTGGTTCTGGGTTTATAAAAAAAAAAGGCTGCTGCCTGCCTGGCAGGGCACTTGAGAGGGCAACAGAAGGGCCTGGCATGTAGTCAGCACTCAAGAGTGATGACTTATCATGACCAGTTAAATTATAGTGGATCTTCCTGATGATTCTGTGAACAGATTCACCTCTAGAGCTTCAGAGGGCTGGAGGGGCTGGGATGAGGACCCGGGTGGCCTGACATCCAGTCTTCCGTCAAGATGGGTCCACAGCATTCCTGTGCCATGGGGTCCAGGACACTGGACAGTTGAGGCTATGCCCCCGGAGCAGGCTTCATGGTGTGGTTTGAGGCCACAGGGAGGTCAAGTGAGGCATGTGACATGGTGATGAGGACAGGCTGTAGAGGCAGCCCGAACTGTGTCTGGATTCAGCTGTGTGACCATGGGCAGTTACCTCACCTCTGGGCTCCCATGGCCCAGTCTGCACAGAGTGGGTAACACATGAAGCTACTGTGTGTTGCGGGGGGCTCTGCAGGGACCACACTGCTAGCCCTCCCAGCTCTACCACCCTTGCTGAGTTGCAGACCCTAGGGTTAGGGTTAGGGTTAGTATCCTGCCGCCCAGGGTCCCAGTGTGCCCTCTGTACCATCCCTGGGCCCCTACTTTGGATCTGGGCCTCGACAGGCCTGTGCAGGTCTGGGAAGGCCACCAGCAGCCGCTCCCGCTCCCTCAGCTCCACAAGCTCCCGTTCCAGCTCCGAGACAGTCAGTTGCAGATCCATCATCGCCTGTTCCAGGTCTTGCTTCTCCCCCTGCAGGCTCCGCAGCAGCTCCTGGGACAAAGGGAGGCTCAGACCTGGCCCATGGGACACCTCCTGGCTCCCTTGGGGACACCCCACCCCTTCTACTCCCCAGCTGGCTGGAGCATCACTGCAACCTGCTGGGCCTGGAGCTGGCACTGCCCCTGCTCCCTCTCGCTCTGCACGCTCTGCAGCTGCTCCTCCACGTGGGCCCGCTGGGCCTCGGCCTCGTCCAGGCTGCCCCGAAGCTCTTCACGCTCCTGGTCCAGGCTGTCCAGCTGCTGCAGCAGGGCTCGCTGTTTGGCCTGCAGGGACTAAGCCAAGGTGGGCAGGTGGGGTGGCCATGAGGCCTATGGGGCTAGGCCCAGCCACATGGGACTAAGGAGGCTATAGTGTCTGTGACCCCACCACGTTCTCTCCCTTTAGCTGCAGCAGTCTGTGTAGGGAGAGGCTGTGCAAGTGTGAAAGACAAGGGGCAGAGGGAAGAGAGCAAGGGGCGACCTACACCCCAGCCTGGTCAGAGCCAGAACCCCCAGCTTGCAGACCCTGCCCCCTTGGAAAGCAGTTGGCTATTGACCTTCTCTATTATTTTTTTTTTTTTCCAGTTAGAGTCTCCCCTCAGAGAGGAATTTTAGGAAATGTTTTTCTTCTTCTCCTTAGGTCTTCAGGGTCTATGTCATCTGGAACCCACATTTCCTCAAACCCATTGAGTGCAAAGCAAAAAGAACCAGCCCCAGTCATCTCTGAGTCCTAGGCCCAGCTCTGGCTAACTGCGCAACCTTGGGCAATTTCCTGACTCTCACTCAGCCTCAGTTCCTTCATTTATTAAAAGGCAGGGGGGAGCGGGGGAGGGGGACAAGAGTATCTGCTGCCTCCTGTTCTGATGAGGAAGAACGAGAGGGATGCAGAGGCTGAACCCAGTGCCTGGCTCACAGAGCCACCTGATGCGTGGTGACCATGGCTGCTTTTGCGGGACACTGGGAAAAGCACTCACTTGGGGTTGAAAGGCTTTCCTATCCTGGGCCATGCCTGACCCTGGGGACTTTTTCCTGCGGTTGTGGCTCCCTGCCCAGCCTCTGAGGATGAGCCCAGCTGGGATAGTCCCCAGACCTGCCCCTTCTCTAGGTGAAGTGTGACCAGTCACTCACTCTCTTAGCCACCCCAGTGGGGACTCCTGCAAGACTCCATTGCCCAGGGCACAGCTCTCTCCTGGGCCCCGGCTCACCCTCCGTCCTCCCTGCCCTTCTTCCCACTGATGAACCTGGGTATGTGTCGGAGAGCAGGGGCCCTACGCAGATAAACCCTCATCCCCCACCAATGGATTCCTCTCTCCCTGGAGCTGATGTTCCAGGTGCCCAGGGCGCTGGCAGGGGCCCCGGCCTCACCTCCTGGTGGCGGACCATGCTGTCGACGCGGGCCTTCTCTTTGTCCAGCTCTGTGCTGGCCCAGTGGATCTGCTGGCTGGCCCCATCCAGCCGCCCTGCCAGCAGCTGTACCTGTTCCTCCAGCTGCTGAACCTGCCTCTCGGCCTCCACCCTGTGCTTGGCCTCCTCCTGCAGCTGCTCGGCCTTTGTCTCTGCGGGATTGAGTGGGCGTGGGAAGGGATAGGGCAGGGGAACCCTGGGTGCGAGTCACTGCAGTGCCTTTGACACAGGATGGGGCCAGGGGTGTATGTGTCACAGCATGTCTCTGGGCCTCAGTGTCATTAGCCACAGGATGGTGCTCTGAACCTCATCTAAGGTGGTTTCTGAATATAGACGGTAGCACCCCAATTTGGGTCATTACCCAATAGGGTGGCTGCTCAGGCCCACCCTCCTTCAGTGGTTGCCTTTATCTTTGCCCCGGAAGCTCAGAGGACAGGATAGAGGGTGCTCGTCTTGCTGCACCACTGAGCACAGGACACGCGGTATGGGGTTGTATGACGGGGTCCTCACCCATGGCCTGCATGGACTCCTGCTGCTGCTTCAGCTCTCCCTCCAGGGCGGCCGCCTTCCTCTTGAGGTCACTTGTTTCTGTGCAGCCAAGAGAGTCCCTTCAGAGGGTCCTTTGAGCCTGGCCAGTGGCCTTCATGGCCAGTGTACCCTACGGAGTGGTGGCAGCCATTGCCTGGCCTTGAGGGTGAGCTCTGGGGAGGTGCCAGGAAGCCTAGGCCCCTGTCTGCCCTGCTTCCTGTTGGCTAGCTGCCATGTCTCTGTACCCCTTTGGGCCTCAGCAATGGGCAATGGCGGCCTTCCAGTGCCTGTGGCTGCATCTCTTTGCCTAACCACTTTTGCCGAAGCCAAAGAGGACACTGATGGCTGGAGGTACCAGGGAGAGAACTCTGCCAAGAGTCACATTCAGTGAGCAAGAAGAGTGAGTGGATGAATGGCCCAGCTGCCTTGCTCCCCTGTGGGGGTAACTCTGAGGCATGTGTCCTACGCCGGCTCCAGTGTTCCCAGTGGGATGAAGCTCCATTGCCTGTAGTGTAACTGGCTTGATGAATGCATTTTTTTTTTTCCTGCCTTCCCTTCTCTGCATCTCTGGCCCACTCCCTAGCCAGGGTTTCTTCCACACCAACTACTTGTACAGAAAGCAGCCCTGTCACAGGGTCTGCTAACTGGGAGAGCCCACACCAAGGCTATAGCAGAGCCCCAGGCACTAAGGGTCCAGCCTCTGGGGCACAGACCTGTGAGCAGTTGCTGCTTGTCACGCTCCCACTTGACCAGGCGCTGCTGGGCTTCGTCTGCCTGCCGCCGCCGCTCCCCCTGCTCCTGCCGCAGTGCCTGCTCCAGCTCGCCCACCTCCTTCCTCAGTCCATCCTTCTGCCCCTCAGCCTCCTCCAGCTGGGCCTTGAGGGCCCCGACAAGCTGAGTGAGGGTCCCCACGTGCTTACTGAGGCGGGTCAGGTCTTTGCTCTGTTCTGCCGCCCAGTGGCCCACAGTGGCAGCGGGCAGTGGCCTCAGCCCCATGGTATCCTGCACCAGCTGCTGGAACTGTCCTAGGGACGAGGGCAAGTTTTGGCTCTGACACAGGCTGATGACCACCTTGCCCACCTCCCGCAGGCTGCCCTGGACACTGGCGCACGCATCACAGGGCACCAGGGCAGTCTCCACGGTCTGGCAGTGGACACTCTTGGTGCTCTCGGTGGTCCTGCCTGGAGACTGCAGGGATACTCTGACGGAGAGGCTGCCAGGTTCTTGGCAGGTCTGGGGCAAGCCTGGAATTGAAGAGGGGGGCTTGATGAACTTGGCAGTCACGAATTCAGGGCTCTTGGCTGGCTCGCCCTTGGCTGTGGGCTTGGAGGTGGGAGTCTCCCCTTGGATCGCCTTCTTCTGTGTTCAAGAAAAGAAAGGGAAAGCAGGTGAGGGAGACAGGCCTGGGAGGTGACCACTTCCCTGGGGATTTCTGTGATAGCCTCTCCTGATGCCCAGACCCTCTGATATTATCTAACACCGATGTGAATGAAAGAGAACCTTTCCCTTTCTTTCCACTGCCTCCGGTTACAAAGCTCAGGCCTCCTCTCTGCTGCCCAGGCCTCCTCTCTGCTGCCCAGGCCTCCTCCCTGCTACCTACCCCTTCCCCCCCCCCCAGGCTCAATGCAGTTACACGCATGGTACTGGGAGAGTATCAGTGAAAGACACAGCTGCCGGTTACGGGGCTCTTCCTTAGCGGATTTGACTACTCACTGTAGCAACTCTCAGTTTTAGTTTCCTCTCCATCATGGTGACAGTGATCCTTCCCACTGGCTGGTTGTGAGGATTATGGGATAACCCTCAACAAATGGCACTCACATTAACCCTATTACCCAACAATGCCCTGAGAGGTAGAGATTGTCATTACTCCCACTGTAAAGGTGAACAAACAGGTTCAGAGGAGGAAGGATTTTTCCAAAGTCCCACTGTGTAAAGAGCAGAGCCTAGGAGCCCAGGCACGTCCCCTGTGGCCTGTGCTGAAATAGAAGGCCTTGACTGGGAGGCTCCAGAGCTGACACTCTCCTTCAGGCAGTGCAGAGCCAGCAATGGGTGCGGTGCTCGCATGGGGTGCTAGGAAGCCGGGGCACAGTGGACTGGTGTGAGGGTGGCCACAGTGGGGGAAAGCGGGGTAGCTGACCCACCTTGGGGGGCATCTGCTGATAGAGCATGCCCAGCTTCAGCAGGCTGTTCCAGAAGCGCCGGACAGTGAGTCCCACGGACATGCAGGGCCCCACAGCCCGGGCAGGGGGCACTGTCTGCTCCGAACTGAGGTTCTCCAAGTAGTTCGCACAGCTCTGAAGCAGCAGCAGGAGCCTGGGGCAGAGACAGTAAGGTCAGCGAGGGCAGAGCCCAGTGCCACTGTGCCCTCACGCCTCACGGTTGGGAGTCTCTGGCTCTGGGGAATGGGTCCAGGCATCATGGACTTGGAGCATCTTAGAATATGCTCTGCCAGTCCAGGTTCAAACCCAACCCAAGAGCCATTTCTTCCAGGAAGCCCTCCATGAGGGCTGAGCTTGGGGGCCTCTTTTGGGCCTCCTGGGTGAGCCCACTTCTGCCTGGCCGTTTCCCACTGTTGTTGCTCTGGGAAGATGCTCTGGGAGGCTGGGCTGTATCCTGAATGCTGACAAAGTGCTGGGTGAGTGGCTGCCTTACATCACATGGCACAGAGCCTTCACCTTAGAAGACAGCTGAGACCCAAGAGAGGAGGGGCTGGTCCACAGCCTCAGGGTCAGCAGGCGCCTTGCAATTTCCTGATTCTAATCAGAGGCTTCTGGAGGGCAAGCTGCTCCTCTGACAGTGGAGACTTGGAGTGAAGAGAGTTGGTCTCTATCCTAACCTCTGAGTTCAAAATTATAGTCAGGGGCTTATTTTAAGGAAAAGTGGCATTGGAAGGATATTTGTATTTGCATGGAAACCAAGCTATTTTAAAGGAAGAGGTATTATGTTTACAAAACATACCAGGCAGGTAAGTGACCTTCTCTTGTTGCAGGTGCAGGGGGGTCATCCCAAACCCACTGGGCATTGAGCAGAGAGGGCCCAGGGGAGGGTGTGCCACCTGCCTCTAGGCTCTGCCTTTCTCTGGGTCAAGGTGTCCTCCTATGAATGGGGACAAGCGTGCCTGCCGCACTGGTGAGCAGCAATGGGGAGTGGGAAAGCACTTGGAAAGAGGATATGATGTGTCCTTGACAGCAATTTGTCTGCTCAGATAGGCACACCTTCTCAGTGGGAGACTGCTGTGCTCTCTACATTACCTACATCCTTAGCCATAACCCCACCCCTGACGTGCATCAAGCACCTTCAAATGCGGTACCCTGAATCAGTGATGATGGCCCTGTTCTCCAGGATCCCCAGGCTGGTCTAGGTCTCAGACCCAGTGGTCTCCTCCAGGAGTTCTGTACACACACAGAAGCCCTGGGGAGGCTCTGACTAACTCAGCCAGAGGTAGACAGAGAGATGAGGCAAGGGGTGGGAAGACATGTCAGCTGTGCAGAAGGGGAATACCTAAAGTGGACCTTGATGGACAAGTGGAGCTGGGCCAGACCAGTGGGGGTGGGCGGGGCATTCCTAAAAGAGGGCAGAGCATATGCAAAGCCAAGGAGGAAGGACGGTGTGTTCTCTGCTTACGTGTTCAGCCCCTCACAGGATCCAATGGTGCTTTTACACCAAGGGCTCCTCCAGGCCTCCGAGTGGTTACCCTGGCTTCTTTGTCATCAGGCAAGTCATCCTCAACCTGCTGAGGTCCCTGCTTGTCAGGCCCCTATGACTTCATTAGCATGTAAGGTTTTGAAACACGGGGAACCTGGGTTGGGGTCCCCAGGGAGCAGAAGGCTAACGACCACGTTACTGTTAATAATAGCACAGAAGTGGTAGGGGTGTGGGGGAATCCACTGGCCTCTTCCCAGAAGGACCAGGATTTGGAAAAACACACCCCACGTCTGGCCACATGACCTAGCCCACAATGGGAACAGCAGAGCCCACAAGACGCTGGGACAGAAACTCTGAACAGCAGCTGTGGTGTCCCCAACACTCAGAAACCCTGAGGAGGTAGCTGGCAGCAGCCAGAGACAGCGGTCAGAGCTGGGGTGCCACAGAGACCAATAGGGTAGCCAGCAACTCCCTGAGCGTGGACAGTACAGGACAGCAAAGCACAGCACACGGCACAGGCGAGGTCACTGTGAGGGCCCCGGGCTGACCTGGCCCCCGATAGTACTCAGCCAGAGGGGATTGTTGCTCCCATCGTCGTCAGCACCCCTGGAGGGGGATCCCATGGCTGCTACTGGTTTAAGGGGTGGGTGTCACAATCCCAGGCTGGTCAATGCCCTCACCTGTCAATGACAAGCTCCAACAGCACAGCATGAGACAGCTGTGTGAACTCAGGGTCACCTGGCACGTGGTCATAGTGCTCCAGCAGGGCCACCATGTCCAGGTCACAGGCCACACGGTCAGGAAACTTCCAGGAGGGAAAGCGCACGGGGCCAGCACGGGAGAAGACGTCTACAATGGCACCCTGCAGGTCAGTGAGGTCCTTGCGCAGGCTGTCGATGCAGGCCTGGCTGCCGAGCAGGTGAGCCATCCTCAAGGCCCCTGGGGTGGGCAGAGAGGAGCCGCATTAGTCAGAGCCATGTGGCCACTGCGCGAGGAACCTTCCTACAACCTCTATCTGCCCAGGTTCTCCTAGGCCCAAGTCTGTCTTACACCCAGGGGAGAAGTGTGCTGACCAACCCCAGGTCGCCAGGCCCTTTGGAAGCTGGCTGTGGGTGACCTCGTCAGCCTCCCTTCCACCCACCCTACCCCATACCTACACTGCCGATTTCATTGTTCCAGAAGTATAATACCTCTCAGGGCTTGTGTATGCCAGGTCCCTGGTAAATGCTGGGCAGATACCGCTATGAATGAGAACGTACCTGCTGTCCTTCCCTCCCTGAGTGAACCGCTGAACAGGCAACTAGCTGACAACTACAAGGCAGTGGTACAGCATGACGGGGACTGCTGGGCCACACCAGGCCACTGTCATTTCCACAAGCCTGCCTGCCCCGATCTGATCCACTTCCGCTCCAGAGATCTGGGCCAAACCCTGTCTCATCACTTCACACTGGCCAATGAACCCTCAGGACTCCCTGCTGGCCTTGGGAGAAAGTCCTCCTCTGGTTCTATTCCTCTCCCCTGCCTCTCTAGTTGCTCCCCTCTCTACCTCACATTCTCCACTCCAACCACCATCAGCTGTGGGGCAGCTAACGCACAGGTACTCGTCTCCGAATCTATGCCTCTCTCTCCCCTCTATCTGAATTATGTTTCCCCTGTCCAACTCCCATCACCTGGCTAACTCCTCTCATCCTTCAGGGTTCCCGGATATCACCTCCTCCAGGAAGCCTTCCCTGAGTACCCTCCAGGCTGGGTTAGATAATTTGGCTAGGCTTCCCTATTTCAGCCCTGATCCCTATGCTAGAATGGCCGCCCCTCTGTAGGCCAGGTCTTTAGTCCACCTGAGTCACTACACTATGCCCACTGTGGCCAGCCTGCGGGTTGGCCCATTGTTGATGCTCACTGGCAAGTGAATGACTAAGTAACCAAATGGAAAAAAGAAAAAGAATCCCCAAAAGACTTTTAAAATAAATTGATTTGGGGAGGAGAACAAATCATAGTAAGAGAGGAAAATCTGAAAATTGTATACCTACCCAAACCATTCTGGTGACAGGAGACCCCGTTATACATTTATACACAGAGTCCCAGCTCTGCACCTTCCTAGCTGTGTGGCCTCAGGCAAGTCACTGCATCCCTCTGAGCCCCAGCTGCCTCAGTTGTAAGATGGGAACACCATCCCTCCCACAACTGGACCAGGTGGTAGTGAGGCCTTTAAAGGTGTCTACAAGTAAAGTGCTTGGTTCAGTGTAAGACAACAGTAAAAGTTCTCCAGCAATGGTAACTTACTATCGTGATTTTATTATTAGCAGTAACAACAGCAAAGCCCATCTTTGTCTGGAACTGTTTTGCCCCTGTGGCCCACACAGAATGCTTCTTGTCCATCTTCAGAGTCTGTGGACATCTGAAGACAGTGATTTGGATGAACTGTTCATGGTCCTTGACTCAGAAGGTAGAGAAGCAACACTGTTCTGGCCCCTCCTGTGGCTCATCGCATGTCTCTGGCGGTTGGTGTCAGAGCTGCGCTCTGTTCAGAGCTGGGCAGCCCTCTGGATGCTGAGCCCTGGCCCTTCCCCACCATGTAGCAGGGGCCCCCTTGCCCGTTGCGGATTTCTCAGCAGCAGGAAGTGCTTCCTTGCACCACAGCCATTCCCTGCAATGTAGGGGCTGCTTAAGCAATAGTTAGGCCGTGGCCCCTCTTGCCCCCAGCAAGTCCAGGCCTAGCTGGAAAAATCTCTCTTCCTCCTACCTGTTTCCACCTCTCTCATCTCAGAAAATGGCACCCCCACTTAGTTCACCCGGGCACTTCCTCAAATCCCCTTCCTTTAACCCCACATCTAAGCAGAGTGCTGCCAAACCTACGTCCAGATCACACTGCGAACCTACCACTCTCATCCATAGACCGCGCGCTGCACCCCATCTCCTTCTTTCCTATGCCCAGCAACACCTTGCTCATTGGGTATATGGCAGCCAGAGTGATAGTTTAAAAAGGCAAATCATGCCCTGGCCAGGTAGCTCAGTTGGTTAGAGTGTTGTCTCCATACACTAAGGTTGGGGGTTTGACCCCAGGTCAGGACACATACAAGATTCAGCCAATGAATGCATGAATGGGTGGAACAACAGATAGATGTTTCTTTCTCTTTCCCTTCCTCTTTCTCTCTCTAAAATTAATAAATTAAAAAAAATAGCCCTGCCTAGTGTGGCTCAGTGGATTGAGTGCCGGCCTCGAACCAAAAGGTTGCCAGTTTGATTCCCAGTGAGGGCACATGCCTGGGTTGCGGGCCAGGTCCTCAAGTTGGGGGTTGCCTTCTCACAGAGAAAGGCAACCAGTCAATGTCATCTCTCACACATCGATGTTTCTCTCCCTCTCTTTGTCCCTTCCTTCTCTCTCTAAAAATAAATAAAATCTTTAAAAAAACTTTAAAATGAATGAATGAATGAATAAATGAATAAAAAGACAACTCACCCCCTCACCCCTTCCCACTCTTTCCCTCCCTGGCAACCCCTCCCAGGGCCCCGGAAAGGCTTTCTGCAGCATAAAGACTAGAACACTGCCCGGAGCTCCAGGCTCCAGCCCTGGGTGATCTGCCCCCACCTCAGCACCTCACCACTCAGATTGTGCCCCTCTCCCGACTTCCCCTGGATGAGATACCTCCCTCAGGTCTCTGGGCCAGGTGAGCTCCCGCTGTTGCGCATTCTCAGAGTATCCTGTTCTTTTCCATCTCAGCAGATACTACACTGGCACTGAATCATTATTTGAGTAATCATTTCTGGGTGGCGGTCTCTCTAGCTGTGAGCACATGGACTGTCTTTTGAGTTCACTGGGATATGACCCGGCCGCCTGGGCCAAGAGGCCTGAGGGCCAGCCTGTGTCCGCAGGTGCTAGGATGCTCAGAGGCACCAAGGGGTAGTTCCTGAGGGCTGAGCCTCCAGCCCATAATCCTACAGAGGATTATGCCCTATTCTCACCTCTATGCGCTGCCTGCCTGTGAAGCTGGTCGTCTGCACAGGTGCCTGCCTAAGCCTCAGACTAGCCTGTAGGCTCTGGGGCTCAGGGTCAGCGGCTCATCCAGGTGCCTGATTTCCTGTCTCCAGTGCAGGGCTGGCCCCAAGCAGTTCTTCAGTACCTGGGAGTGAATAAAGGCAAGAGTGCATGAGTGAGCACTCAGGGAGGGTTTCCTGAGGGGCCAAGGAAGAGGCTGTCCCAGAGGAAGGGGAGGGTGTTCCAGGCTGGAGGAATAAAGTGAGGGAAAGGGCAGGTGGGGTCGCCTGCCTTGAGCCTGAGCACAGCAGGCTTTAACAGCACTAGCTCTGACCACAGGATCTACTATGTGCCACTTTCCAAATCTACTTCCTTACACAGATGAGAAAACTGAGGCTCTGAAATGTCAGGGAGTTAGCCCAAGGTCACTCAGGGAGCTGAGATTCTTTTCAGTCTAACGTCTCTGCTCTGTCTTCAGGCTACGCTGCTTCTAGAGCAGCTGTGTGCAAAAGAAATACAGTGCAAGCCACATGTGGGACTTTCAATTTTCTACTAGCCACATTAAAAAGGGTAAAAAGAAGTAGATAAATTAATTTTAATAATATATTTAATCCAATGTGCCCCAAATATTATCACTTAAACATCAAATGAATATAAAATTATTAAGATTTTTTACAGTCTTTTTAAAATTTTTTTACATTAAGTCTCAAAATCCAGCATCCCTTTGACATGTACAGTACATCTCAATTGGGATCAGACACTGTTTTCAAATGCACCATCACATAGGCTGGTGGCTACTGTATTGGACAGAGCAGCATAGAGGGTTAGAGCCTATGTGTTTATTCAGCAAATGGTGACTGAGTATTTACTCTATGCTGGACAGAGTGTCAAGCCTGGAACAGAGCAGGGCACAGGGAGCCCTGGCCGCCAGGAGCCACCGTCTGTATCTGAGACTCTTCAGGGAGCAAGCCTTAGGTGTGTCAGCTTTGCCAGTCCCACCCACAGGGCAAAGAGTGCCCACCCCACGACACTCACATGCACACACAGGCCCCCACGCTGCACACATATGTTGCCCCAGTCAGTGCCTGCCTCTCCTGAGCCATGGCCACACATGAGATTTTATGTTCTCAAAATGAGGCAGAAACAAACAGAAAAAAAAAAACCAAAAAAAACAAAAAAACCAGAGTGAAACATCTTGGGTTTCCTTCCTGGAAAGGGAGGATGGAAAAAAATAAAGCAAGCAAGAAACCCTATCCTAGGAGGAGGCCCTGGAAGTAAGGAGGTTGCTTGTGAAGACACCAAGAAACATTGACCTGTTCACCCTCAAATAACTACAGCTGTCACCTGGGGCCATCTGAGATGCGAACTCCTGTTAGATTCTGGTGCTGCTAGGCAGCAGAAATGCCAAAGAAGCAAGAATATGCAAGAGGAAAACACAGCACTGACAAACAAGCCAAGTGTACCTGTGTCAATTCTTCTGAACATTGGAGATTTACAGATAACAGCATGGTTTGAAAACCACATAGGTTCGTGTCAAGTGAAGGAGCATTTAATTCACAGGCTTCCTAATTCCTGGGTCTTGAGTGGAGCCCTCAGCCTGAGGCTGCAAGTCTCCTGAGATCACATAGGTTTCTATGTGATGGCACTAACTGAGCCAGTGCTGCCCTGAGGTAGGAGGGGCAGCTAACCGCCTCTCCTTAGTTCCCTTGAGCTCAAGGTGGACTTCTGACTCACAGGGAAGAGAGGGCACCTCCCCTCCACTCCCGCTCAACATTCAAGCCCCTTCCCTCTCTGAGTCCCAGGACCCACCCTCTGGTAAAGTATATGCCTACCTGCTACCTGTGCGCCCACTGAGATTCACCAGAAAAAGACATTCTCGAAACTCTAAAACCACGTATATGGCAGTTGTTAGTCTCTGACTCAGGACTGCTAATTGCCTGGATCGCTGGGGTGACTGAAGACAGTGAGTGAAGACAACGGAGTAAGTAACTGCACAAGCAGAAGAGTAAGAAAGGCCTGGGTTGGGGTTCCCACTCCACCAACTCTGAACTTCACTGTCCTCATCTGTGAATAAACTGCTCTAGGAAATAAATGATGTAATGCCTGTGGTGGTTGGCAGTGTCTGGCTCACGGTAATGTTCAATAAATCCTAGCTCTCACTATTTACATTAATAATAACAATGACATAAACTAGGGGTTTGTGTGAGAGAGCTGGAGAGGAGACTTGAGAGAACATCTTGCTATCGCGCCCCCATTTCATAGACGAAGAAACTGAAAGCCAGGCACGGGCTCAGAGCCCCCCTGCATTCAGCAGCTGGGAAGGAGGAGAGAAAGGACAGGGAGAGGATCTCAGGAATGGAAGCTCAAAGGGCGGGTTTCCTCCAGGAAGCAAGATAGTGTCCTGCAGGTGGGCACCTGTGGGAGTGAGGGGTGGAGCCTAAAGCAGCAGCCCTGTTTGAGATGGTCCGTGGGGACTCAAGGCCAGACTACGGCAGGCAGGGGGTGGAACCTAGGAATGGCCGGCCCAAGGGAAAAGGGTCCAGTAGTAATTAGAGCTTGGGACTCGGGAAAGGGGCCCGGAGGAGGTGAGCCTGAAGCGAAAGGGGGCTGAAAGAGTAAGGATGTAGGGCTTTGAGGAGGCAAGCCCGAGAGGAGGGGGCTCTCCAAAGTGAGAGGCCAATAGGAGGGAGCTGAGCGGGGCCCTGGAAGGCGGGATTGGAGGGAGTCAGGAACCCGCCCGTGGAGTAAAGGAGAGGGGGGCCAGGACGGTGGGGTGCACGCTGGGAGAGTCCGGCGGATAATGTAAAACTTCTTACCAGTCTCTGATGTCGCAGCCTCAGCCCCTGTGTCGTCTGGATGGCTCATGGAACTGCCCCTGGCGCGCCTGCAGCTCCCGGGAACCCGGCAAAGCCTAACCCGGCGCCCCGACCGCTGCCATGGCAACGGCGTCTGGGGCCGGTTGTCCCTTGGGGAGGAGCGGAAATTACGTCTGGGAAAAGGGGAGGGTCTGGAAGTGCGTCAGCCTCGCCTCCTCGGTGACGGCTCGCTCGGCTGCCGCCATCTTGCGCACTTGCTGTCCTACCGCAGCGGGACAACTGCTTTGACGCAGCACCGCTTACCTGCACCGAGGCGGACTGGCAGCCCTGAGCGTCGCAGTCATGCCGGCAGGACCCGTGCAGGCGGTGCCTCCGCCGCCGCCCGTGGCCACCGAGCCCAAACAGGTACCGTGCCCCCCTCACCTCAATCGGCAGCCCGATCCTAGGCCTAGGCGCGCCTCACTTGTGCGTGAAGAAGCGGCCACTTAGAGGGGCTTAGAGAGACTGCAAGTCCCAGGAGGCAGTGCGCTGCTTTCTGGAAGGGAACCGAGGTCTCTGGAACGGTGGTTCTCAAAGTGTGGTCTGAGGACCACAGCATCACCATCACCTGGGAGTTTAGCAGGTTCTGTGTAAAGTACAGCGGAGAAAATAGTAATATTGCAATAACTATGTATGGTGCCAGGTAGAAATAGCGAGGCAGCCCTTTGTAAAGTGTATGATTACCTAACCACTATGCTGTACACCTGAAATTAATACAAAATAACATTGAATGCAAACTGTGATTGAAAAATAAAATAAAATGTAAAAAAGGGAATGGTCTCCTCCCCAGATCTTCTAATGGGAGTCTGCATTTTAACAAGATCCCGAGGTCATTCATTAAAGTTTGAGAAACATTGGTCCAGCCCACCTATTGGTTTTGTGTGGCTATTCCGCCCACCGGCCTGCAGCCTTTGCCCAGTAATCCCTAATTTCCCATCCTGCAGGGTACAGTTTTGAATGTTAATTTTTCTGCATCTGCTAGGTGCTTAGTGTAAGGCAGACACCGAGCCAAGCTCTCATGTTACTGGAATGAATGATGCACAAGTGCTGCCTTAGAGAGCCAGCTCATAGGCTAGTAAGGACACAGAGACAGGTGAATATTCAACAAATGTGTGTTGCCCAATCACTGTAAATAATAGAGTTCCAGACAGTCCTTAAAAAAAGATCGCAATTAGTTGAGGGGGAAGGATTTACATAAATAATTGCAGTATGGTAGGATTTATGAAGGAAACAGTAATCTAATCAACATTGCTGGTGGAGAGATTAAGGTAGGTGAAACCCACAGGAATGGGAGGTAAATTGCTTTTAGAAGGATGAATAGGAGTTCCCAGGTCGGTGATTGAGGGCAGGAAATAGTATTTTTTTATTCATTCAGCAAACATTGAGCATATATTGTTGGCTGACCCCTGCTTTGGGTTCAGAATACAGTGGCGAGCATGGCAGAAGAGGTCCGTGCCCTGTCCACCATATTTAAGTGCCTCTGTACCCCAGTATTTTCCCAGTCCCTGGGGGAAAATAAACAAGGTAATATCAGATAATAAGTGGAAAGGCACTAATATAGGAATCAGTGCTTCTGATCAAGGGTAAATAGTGTGGTTGAAGCATAGTGTTGGGTAAATGATAGCTGGAGATGCAATTTTGAGGACTTGAGCTTTTCCTAGTAGACAATGGCGAGAAAAGGAAGGACTTTAAGCAGGACAAAGGCATATTTGTGTTTCAGAAACTTAGGTAGATAGGCAGTGATATGGAGAATTGCTACACGGATGGGGGATTAGTCACTTTATTCAAAAGATGCTGAGGTCCTGGCTAGATTTGGGGGGTGGAGGTTGGGGCAGGGGGCTTAATGACAAGCTCATGTCACAAAGTGGCTGATAGTACAGGCTGTCCAGCCACAGTGATGTGTTAGAAATCTGATCAGAAAGCTACCATTTGGGCTAGGGAAGCTCTCTATTCCTCAGTTTTGTCATCTGTGAAATGGGGATAATTAAAGTACTTACCTCATAGGGCTCTCATAAGGACTGTAATACTCCAGGGTGTAAGACAGACTTGGGCCTAGGAGAATCTGGGCAGATAGAGGTCTTAGGAAGGTTCCTCTTGCAGTGGAGCATGGCTGTGGCTAAGCACTTTTATTTAAAGCACCTACTTGATGCTCAATAAATGTAATTGTCACTGAGTTTGGAGCCTGAGGAAAGAGGACGAGGTCCAAGTTTCTGGCCTGGTTGATTGGATCCCTGTTTGACCATTCATGAGGAAAGAGGTTAGAGATGACCAGAGTGCCTAGGAATCAGCTGATCCAGAACTCTGGCATACAGAGTGATTGTTGGACATCAATTTGGATGGGATTATTTAGGCGAAAGTTAATAGAGGAAATGGAGGATGTGGTTGTCATCTTCACAGTATGGACACTGTGAAGAGAACCAAGAACAGAATTTTGGGGATGCCCAACATTTTAGGGCAGGAGGTGAAACAGAGACCAGGAAGGAAACTTGGATGGAATGGTGAGCAAGAAGAAAAGACAGCTGAGCATAGGGCCTGCGAGTTGAGGAGTGGAGAGTTTTTAAAGGAGTGGTCATTGATTACACAGTCAGATAACTGCTGTTCTTGGCTGTAGGCAGTTGTTTTTGACTTTGGCCAGTGCACCTGAAATGGATGGGGACCAAATGGGAGGTGAGGAATTGGGAAGGGCAAGGCTGAGAGAACTCAGGATGTTTAGCTAGCAGAGAGGAAGGGGGGTGGGGGAGGAGAAAGCAGTAGCAGAAAGGAACATGAGGGCAAGGGAGAAACTTTGTTTTTCTAAGATGAGGGGTTTGACCTTTTGTTTACCAAAGGAAGACTGGTGAGGAAAGAATGTTAGAACTTAAGGGCAATTAATGTTGAGTATTCCAGTGCAGTTTCACAAGATATTTGAGCATTGAGTAGTGGTTAAGACTATGGAATGGGTGCAGAGGGAAGGGTCATTTAAGGCAGAAGGAGCTGCCCTCAAGGAGTTTCCTGTGTCTTTATTAGGCAAACAATCCCTAAATATCCCATACCAGGCACCTCCCTTGGTGTGGAAGCCTTCTGGATTCAAGAACATGGCTTCTCAGAATGTGGTCAGAGACCCTCTGCATCTGAATCACCTGGTCACATAGTAAAAATGCATGTCCCCAGTGTCACTGACAGTCTAGCTGGTGGAGCCAGAAAAGTTGCTTTTTAATGGATTACCCAGGAGGGGCCTTTGCAAGCACAGTGCACATAAGAGAACTCGCCTTGAGCAGGGGGCTCTAACCCAAAGGAAGTCTGTGGGAGAGAGTCGGATGCTCTGGGTAATATCCTAGAAGGGTTTAACCTGGGGGATTGGGGATTCAGCCCCAAACCAGGAACTTAAAGATTTTCTTTTCTTTTTCTTTTTTCACAGCCCACAGAAGAAGAAGCCTCTTCAAAGGAGGATTCAGCCCCTTCTAAGCCAGTGGTGGGGATTATTTATCCTCCTCCAGAGGTCAGGAATATTGTCGACAAGACTGCCAGCTTTGTGGCCAGGTAATATAGCTACTTCTGTGGCTTACGGATGGATTTTAGCACCAAGAGCTCCTAAATGCGCACAGGTTAACAACACTGGGTTTGAGAGAAATGTCAGGGTGGCGGTCTAAGTGGCATTGATGGTTAATGTACCTTTGAAAGCACAGGTCATCTAAGCAGTTAGTACATCTGCCAGGGAGACTGAGGCCACAGGTTTGATTCTTATAGAGAGGCGTTGTCAGTGTAGGCCCATTGGCTCATCTCAAACCACAGCGTGGCAGTGAGGTAGGCAGTGGTCAGGACTGGTACCTCTAACAGCGAGACAATGGCAGAGTGTGAGTCACACCTAGCCCCAGAGTCACCAGGAACCTGTGCTTCTGAAACAGGCCTGAGGAAATGCCTGGAAAGTTGCTTTGTTCCAAATAGGATGTGTATCTTTGTCTCACCTAGGGAAGACAGAAAAGGGGGTTGATCATTCTCACTGTGCAAGGACTGCATTCCTTAGAGCCTCAGATGACCCATCTGCAAAGGAATAAAATGCCACCTCAGGGTTGTTGTGAGGCAGGAATGAGATAATCAGACTGAAGACAGTTCAGGTACATCATGCAGGTGTTAGCTGTCTTCTCAGATGGCAAGGAAATCAGTCCAAGTTTCTCTTATTCCCCACGCGCCCCCCGCCCCCCATTACACTTATATACACTCTCTCGTCCTCAGATGGGTCTTAATGGCCCCTTGACTCCAAAGGTCAACACATCTCCTAGTTCAGGGTATTTAAAGTATTCCTTTGGCAGCCAGAAGGCCACATCCAGCCTACAGATCTTTTTTGTTTGTCTTTGCAATATAAATTTTTTAACTCGAATTAGTTGCCACTTTTTTGTTTTCTCCCTCCCTCCCTCCTCTCCTTCCTTCTTTCCTTCCTTCCTTCCTTCCAAGAGGGGATGGAAGGAGAAAGTGAGGGAGGGAAACATCGATGGGTTGCCTCTTATATGTGCCACAGCCAGGGACCAAACCCGCACCCTAGAAATGTGCTCTGATAGGCAATCGAACTGGGGACCTTTTGCTTTGCAGGACGACACCCAGCCGATTGAACCATACCACTCAGGGCAAATTGCCAGTTTTTAAAAATGAGGAGATTGTACAATAAGTCTGGATTTCTGACTTCTCTTGACAAACTGGATAACTCCATCCATAGAAGCGGTAGCTGGCCGCTAGCAGACTGCTGTCCTCTGTCTGGGCATGCGCTCTCCAGGGGGCCGTGCCTTGACCTCTGAGGCAGCATCCCGGTCACAGTACATCATTTAATAGATACATTCTTTCCCAACTTCCCAATAAAACGAAATACAGAAAGAGGTTACTCTGGTTATTGTCTTCGATTGTGTCAGATGCCATGTGGATTTGTTTTATCACATTTCAAGGGCTTTGATTAAACTGGGTATTTGGTTAAAATTGTTCTGTTCGTGATTAAACATTATCAGGCCATGTCAGATTTAGGGCAGCAGGTGTTGTATTCATGATAAATGTTTAATGTCTCATAGCAACACTCATGCTTCCCCTTTTCCCCTGATATTTTAAAAACAATAAATAGGAAAAGGATGTTGGAGGAAGAATCAACACAATCTCTCTACCAGAATAGTTTCTGCTAGCTCTTTTCACTTTTTCCTGTTTCCTTCTGGCCCTTGGCATCCTTTTTTTTTTGATCCTTGTAATAGTAGCAGAGATACTTTCACATCCTGCTTTTTCCCTGTTGTGCTGTGTTGTAGGCATTTTTCCATGTTGCTTTATGGTCTGATGCTGTGCAGTCCTCTCTGGAGAGGCTGCACCACGTTGAAGCAACGGGCTCTCCTAGACTTGGCCGTGTCCTCTATCTTTTCCTTTGAGATTGGTTCCAGCATTTCAGTTTGGCAAATGAAGCTCTGGGGAAGTTTCTGAGCATTTTCTTTTCCTTTTAGATTGCTTCCTTAGAAGAAAATTGTGTGGTACATTACTGGCTGAAAGAGAATTTTTGAAGTTTTCTTAAACATTTTGCCAAGTAGCTTTCCAATAGTTTTCTGCCAACCTCTTTGTGCCACAGAAATAAGAGTCTATCCAAGTTCCCTTAAAAATAAATCTATACATCTACACTCTGGATCTATTTTTGGCTACGGTGATTGCCTTGTCGGCATTTCTAAAATCTCTGAACTTGCTTTTGTTTGTGTTGCAATGAAGGGACAGATCAGCATCTCACTCTGGAATAAAGCAAACGTGCAGGAGGCTTCTTTTCTCCTGGGTTCACACATACTGATTGATGGAGCATACAGTAAAAATCAACCAATATGGTTTTCCAAAAGACTTTTTTTCCTCTGTGGGTTAGGTATTCCCTTTTCTGCATTTTCCTGTCAAGGAACTGGAGTGGAAATTACCCTTCCAAGTCCTACCAGCTGGATTGAGTCAGAATCCTGTCTTTTCCTGTGGAAATCTATTCCTTGTGTGAAAGAATACAATTCTAAAATTAACATTAAATTAATTTAAAGCAACAGAAGAACTAGAAATGAACATGGGTGCCTTTCATTGTTTTATTCTTTCAGATTGTTCCTAGACGTGAGGTTATGGCTTCAGAGGCAGGGGTAGAGGACACAACCAGAGCCCCTCTTTCTGGCAGCCCTTTGTCTGCCCTGGGTATTTGCTGGATATCGTGATGCGCATTCACTCTCTTCCTTGTGTGTAGTTTGCATTATTTAAGAAGTGGAACAAACAGTTCTTCCCCGAACATGAGGTTCTAGTTGGACTAATTCACTGTCAAATTGAGACCTCATGGTGTTAGTCATGCTGTGGAGTGTGACTAGAACTTGCGGAGGAGCTAGCCCGGATGTTGATGACCACCACCATGGCGTCGGTCATTATGGTGGCTAATTTGTGTACGGCATTGCCTGTACCCTGTCTACCCCCTGTCCTCAACTGACAGGGCCAGGGTGTGAACGTGGGAGGAGAGTGAAGCAACCTGGCCGCCGAGCAGCCCCCGGAGCTGCCCATTGGTGTGTCCAGGGCATCTCCAAGTGCTGGGCTCTGGCTGGAGGAGCGATGGGAGCCCCCACAGTCATCTCCTAATACCCAGTTCATCTCTAATGTGTACGGAGTAGCCCTTTGGACTTTTATAGGAGTGACAGCCCTTTCATTTGTAGGCCACTGTATGATTCAAGAAGACTTTGCATCTCCTTGACTAATTTGACCTTCTTAGTACTTCATGATAGAGATGGTAGGGTTAGCCACGTATTACACGTGGGAAATCGAGTCAAAGAGAGGTTGGGTAACTTGGTGTTCAGTAGTGAACCTAAAACTTGACCGTGTTCACACCTTGTGTCTTTAAAGGTTAGTGCACCCTCTAACTGACACAGGTGTTATATGCAGGCTGGGGCAAAAGTAGGTTTACAGTTGTGAGTATATGAATCACAAGGTTTATTTTTATGTTTGTGTTTATTAATGCCATATGAATAACTCTAAAGCTACTTTTGTCCCACCATGTGTGTGGCACATTGAATATTGCTATTAAAACTCTTAAAAAGTCAGGGTTTCCTGAGCACTGTGAGACATTTTTTTAAATTCTGAGGTTATTAAAGGCATGCAGGCTGGGGACATAGGGTGTACGTGGGAAACTGTCCTGGGTACAGAGAGAAATGGGAGACCTCCCCGCCGGTCTCACTGCTCCCCTGTCATCTGAATGTGCCTTACACAGCAGCACAGGTTTGCGTCCTTGGAGAGGGTGTGTGTCCTTGGAAAGTGTGCTTCACCCATTAGTACATGAGGTAATTTTAGGCAGTACTTAGACAAGACATAAATATAATTGTCTACATTTTCATGTTTTTTCAGTCCACCTTGTTACCCAGAGGGCAGTCTCACTTTGGTGCTAGTCTATCTTTGACACCTCTCCAGCACTAAGTCCCCCTTCTTAACTAAGAGAACAGGCCTCAGTCACAGCAAACTTGGAGCTAAACTTTAACAATTCTATTACTTTTTTTCCATTATATTTAATTTTAAATCTGCCTTTTTTTAGTAAAGTCATACTGATTTTTATTTGAAGTAGTAATATATCCCTTCCCACATTTTTAAAGGTAAATTAATCTTTTTTTAAAAAAAAAAAAGTTCAGATGGTTTTTTGAAATGGCAAGACTGGCAGAGAAGCTGCAGGAGTGATGATGTCTGGGGGGCCCGGTGGTACAGGAGGCCTGGGTCAGGCCAGAGGAGGCAGGTGGCACTGGCCGCTGATAGGTCTCAAGGAAGACCTCTGCTGTGCTGAGAGGGAGACTAGTTTGAGCAGTGAGTGGGAAAAGGTGGCTTGAACTTCTGGGTCTCAGCAGTTGCATGGGTTGTGGTGTTAATTCTTTTTTCCTCCTTCTAGAAATGGACCTGAATTTGAAGCTAGGATACGACAGAATGAGATCAACAACCCCAAGTTCAACTTTCTGAACCCCAATGACCCTTACCATGCTTACTACCGCCACAAGGTCAGCGAGTTCAAGGAGGGGAAGGCTCAGGAGCCCTCTGCTGCCATCCCCAAGGTCATGCAGCAGCAGCAGCAAGCCACCCAGCAGCAGCTGCCTCAGAAGGTTGGAGCCAGTCTCTCCCCTTACTTCCCCAGGCCTGAGAGGGAGAGGCCAGGACAGGGAGGGTGGGGAGGATGGGAACTCTGCTCTCCAAAGCACACAACCACCCAGAGAGATGTGAGGTTTTTATTCCCATCTTACAGAGGCAGATGCCGAGGCTCAGATAGCAAAGTCTTGCCAACAGTTGGCATTTTTTTAGCATTGCTTGTCAAGCCATGTGCTCAGTGCTTCAAGGGCCTTGTCTCATTGGCACCTCACGGGCTGCATGAGGAGGCCAAGAAAGTGATCATTTTACGGATGAGGAATCTGGCTCAGGGAAGTGTGATTTACTTTTAAGTCTGTGCTCTCAGCCCGCTCTCAGCCTTGCCGAGGCTTGTTGGCCCTTTCTTGTGCCATCATTCTGTCTTGCTTTCCCAGGGCCCCTTTGTCTGGCCTGCCCTAATACCCCGCTCAGAACTAGGGACAATTAGGGTCGTCAGTGAGGACAGGAAGGGCTGGCACATTTTGCTTCCTGTGTAGACCTGGACCGGTCCCTTTTCTTTGCTCTATTCCTGAACCATAGTGGCAAAGGCCACTCCTTGTTTTACGATGGAAAATAAAGGTCGACATAGGTTCTGAGACCTTGCGTTGCAGTTTACTACTTGTAGGGCCTCAGGCTACTTCAGTTTCCTCATCTATAAAAAGGATTCATGGTACCTGTTCTCTCCGCCTCATAGTTCACATGGAGGCCAAATGAGATAACAAATGTGTAAGTCCTTCACCTAGCAAGGTCCTCTGCACACTTAGAAGGCCTACTGCAGCCTCTGTCCCCCTCAGGTGGGATTTAACAAGCTATATTCCTGTCTGCTCTCCTGCTACCCAGTTTTGGCCTTCAATTTCAGGGCAGCAGCAGAGATACAGAGGGGCACGGATCTCACTGGAAGCCTTTCAGGTTGTTGAGGCCAAGAAAGTTGGCCAAGAAAGTGCTGCCCTTATGAGTTAGGATTCTCTCACAGCATGTACCAATGCTGTACACATTAACAGAATCATAGAGTCCCTCTCTAGAGCCAGTTCACTCCTGCACTTCTTGCCTCACACACCTTCTGCATCATAGGTCCAAGCCCAGGTGATCCAAGAGACCATCGTGCCCAAAGAGCCTCCTCCTGAGTTTGAGTTCATCGCAGATCCCCCCTCCATCTCAGCCTTTGACCTGGACGTGGTGAAGCTGACGGCTCAGTTTGTGGCCAGGAATGGGCGCCAGTTTCTGACCCAGCTGATGCAGAAAGAGCAGCGCAACTACCAATTTGACTTCCTCCGTCCACAGCACAGCCTCTTCAACTACTTCACGAAGCTGGTGGAACAGTATACCAAGGTGCCTGGGCAGGGTGGGGGCCAGGGTGCTGGGCCCAGGGAAGGAAGGCATTTTACCATAAGCATTCTATCCACTCACTGTCTGCAAGGACACTGTTTCTCTGTGGTGCCCCTAGGTGAATGTTAAAATTTCATTTCAATGTGAAGTCTTGATTTCTATTCATTTTCTCCTTTTCAATGCAACATTAACTGCTGTTTCTAAAGAGAAATGAAATGCGTGATTGGTAACTGCCATGGGGTGAGTGCCTGCCATATGACAAGGCCAAGTGGTGCTAGCTGCTTTTAAGTACATTTAAATGTTCAGGTTCCTAGTGTGGAGCCTGAGAAAGAAGCAAGGCCTTAATAATTGTCTCCTATTACCTAATTCAGTCCTCACAAGAACTCTTGACGTGTTTCCCGCCTTTTCCAAAAGTAGGAACAGGCCCAGAGAGGTGAAGTCACTTACTCATGGACTCTAAGCTAATAAGTAGCTACAGTGAAATATAATCCAACATTTGATTCTGAAACCAGTTATTTTTCACCATGAAATGTACAGTACTTGAATTTGAAATGTCCTTTAGGCATTGGGAAACAATTTAATATAATATAGCTAGTACTTATGCAGTATCTTATTTTAATGCCTAATAACCTATAAGGTTGTTATACTCATTTTACAGAAGAGGAAACTGAGGCACAGAGGCGTTAACTTGGCCATTATCACACAGGGGCTAGGTCACAGCTGGCATTTTTACTCCAGACCCTAAGATATTAATTACCATACTGCATTGTCGCAGTCAAGAATCTGGGCAAGTCAACACTGGCATTTAAAATGATCATATTGTTAACATGTACACCGGTACATACTTTCCTGTGGTATAGTTGTTTTTTATAATCTGTTCCTGATATCTAGAAATAATATGTTAAAGATCTGATTTGAAAGGACCCACCTGTGATTTCCTGTGACTTAACTCACTGTATAAGTAGAAAGAATTGTAAAAATGTGTGTGTTTAGAAAAAGACCAAATCTAGAAGTTAGTAGCTAAAATAACAATGAAGGTCCACAACCAGAGGGTTACTGTACTTACATAATGTCAATTTTAAGCAAGCCCTGGGTTAATATCTACTAGTGGACTGCTTCAGAGGTTGAAGGTCCCCAGATTTCTTTTTGTCCTGTTACTTTCCTGTTCCTTCTCCCTCAGAGCTTAGTGTTGACATTTAGTACTCTAATTTGGGGGCACTGGTGTCTGCTCTTTCCATGAGGACTCTAGGAGCAGATCGATTTCTGGGGTAGCATTACAGGGAGGATGGGGTGAGGCTGAGGCACTTTGCTAGTGATAACAGATAGTGTTGGGGCAGTCGGAATGACTGGCTATTTTGAAAAAAGCTAGCAAATATACATTGAGTGTCAGACATTGTTCCAAGTGCTGGCGATAGAGCGAAAAAAAGAAATCTGTCTTTGTGGAGTTTCTGGTCTAGTGAGGGTGTGACAAGCAAGTGCAGTCTCAGTGTATGTCAATGTCATAAATACTGTGGAGAAAAAGAAAGCAGGGAAGGGGAATGTAGGGAAGTGGGGCCACTGGGCTGTAGTCTTAAATGGAATAGTCAGGGGAGGCCTGGTAGCATGTGCGGAAGTACAGGAGCAGATCTGTACACTGAAAGCAGCCATTGCATACCAACCGTGTGCTGACTGTTTGGCCTGTGGTTTTGCATACTTAACTGCTAATTCTTACCAGCAATCTTTTAAGTTGAGGGTGCCAACTTAAGTGGTGATATCACCATTTTGTAGAAGGAAACCAAGTTACAGAGGTTAAGTAACTTGGCCAGAGTCACACAGCCGAGTGGAGCTGGGAATGAGACCCAGAATCCCATGTTCTCCCTTCTGTGCCTTTCCACAGGCCCAGGAAGGCTGCCTCTCTGTCCCATGTTGTGCTGCACTGACAGTTGCATTAATAACTTCTGTGTTTCAGATCTTGATTCCACCCAAAGGCTTATTTGCAAAGCTCAAGAAAGAAGCTGAGAACCCCCGAGAAGTTTTGGACCAGGTATACTCAATTTCTTATAACCAGTTACTTATAACCAGGGCAAGTTATATTGTGTGGGTTCTGTTTCTCGTTTGTAAATAACCTCTGAGGCAGTACCTTGTTATATTCTAGGCATAGTGGTAGAAAGAAAGGCCTTATGGCTACAAAGGCCAAAGAAACCGGGATTCTGAACTCTCTAACGTTCTGCTCAGCCCTCAGCTTCACTAGGTCTTCGTCTTTTCTACCCTCATTAGAAGCCCACTCCTGAACAGGTTCTCCAGCAGCAGATGCCCTTTGAAGCCCCTGGTCTTCAGTGTCGAGGACAGAGGGCATATTGGCACTAGCTGTTCTGGATGGCTATATGAAGTCTTGTTGCGTAGGCTGTCAGACTACCACTTCTTTTGTGGGCCCTTTATTGTCACGCAGACTTCCTGGGAGGGAGGTAGCTACTCTGTGAACACAGCTCCTTGCTAATTCAAGCAGAAAACTGAGGTTATAACAAATGGCTGGCCCTGGGGCCCAGGGAGAAGGTTTCTGTGGCATTTAGAATTTTCATCCTTACCAGACTCTGGCCCTGGCTGAAAATTTATACAAATACCATAGTTTGCTTCATGCAGTTCCCTCTTTGTTGGCAGAGCAGCCTCTTTTCTGTTCTGGAGGAGCTGCTGGCTTTAGTAAAGGCCTTGGAGGTGACGTCCTTATCAAGAGCAGACCCTGATTCAGCTCAGCACCTTGCTCTTTTCCATCTCTTCAGGTGTGTTACCGAGTGGAGTGGGCCAAGTTCCAGGAGCGTGAGAGGAAGAAGGAAGAGGAGGAGAAGGAGAAGGAGCGAGTGGCCTATGCGCAGATTGACTGGCATGATTTTGTGGTGGTAGAAACAGTGGACTTCCAACCCAATGAGCAAGGTAAGTCTGTGACTCCAGATGGGGAGCAAGGAGCTCAGAACCATCCTGGGAGAGCTCGTACAGGTGTTCCCAGAGAACAGCAGAATTCTCAGAGGGCTGTGTCAGTGTCTGTTTCATCTCTGCTTCCAGAAGACTTCGATTCTATGACATTGTCCCAGTTAAACCTCAACAAATACTTACTGTATGAGACCTCGGATGGGCCTCTAGAGATAGGAGAGAAATCAGCCCCAGCTCACGGCGTACTCACAGTGTGAAGAGAGTAGATAGATGGGCCTATGATAAGGAACATCTGTGGAGGCCTCCCTTTGACTCTGGCTCACCCTCACCCAGGGAACTTCCCTCCCCCTACCACCCCGGAGGAGCTGGGGGCTCGAATCCTCATTCAGGAGCGCTATGAGAAATTTGGTGAGAGTGAGGAGGTCGAGATGGAGGTCGAGTCTGATGACGAGGATGAGAAGCAGGAGAAGGCAGAGGAGCCTCCTTCCCAGCTGGACCAGGATACCCAGGTGCAAGACATGGATGAGGTACGCTCCTGCAGGATGACCTTTTCCCCTGGAGTCAAGGAGATGGGGGTGCTCTCCACCAGAGTCAGAGATCCAGTTACCTTGTGACCCTCGAAGGGAGGCATGGGTCCTGAATAAGGCATCCTGGCTGAGCAGCTGCCCAAACCCAGGCAGCACAGAGCCTCTTTCCAGCTTGGGTAACAAAGATTCATTCACAAGCAAGGGTCTGGAAGCTGTGCCAGCCCTGTTCTTTGACTTTCCCCCTTTGCCCAGAGGCCCTATCCCCCACCACCCCCGTGCTAGCGCTCAGTTAGGGAACCCTCTATACCTCAAGCTTTGATGCGTTTGAGCTTAGGCCCAAGTCATCAGCAGTTCCCAGCGCTTTTCTACGTGTAGCCTGTGCCTCTTTTTGGCCACCTCTGCCCTCTTTGAGCCAGGCCTTCCAAGCAGGCACAGAGGCTCCAGAGCTAAGCTATTCTCCTCCCCTCGGAAAGAATTTGTGTGCAGCCTGAGAAGAAAGGCCCCTGTGTCTGTGGGAATTGCCTTTTTCTCTCCCTCCCAGCATTGCTCTATGAGCAGCAACCATTAAGCGCCGACTTGCTCCCCGCACCCCTCCCTGGCATGTTAAGTGCCCTTGGCCTCCTGGGACAGCTTGGTGCCAGCTGCTGGAAATGCCTGGGTGGAGTGTTAGCACCACAGCCCCCAGCATTCCCATTCATGCTGTGAGGAAGCAGCTTGGCTGGCTGCCGGCTGGCCTCAGCTGCCCGGGGAGGCTTAGCACATGGACGCTGGCTGGCAGGCAGGGGCCTAGGCAGCTTGCTGCCCTGAGAACCACCAGGATTCAGCTGCAGAGGGGTGGCTTCTCGGCCCCTCTTTGGGTCCTGCCACTGCTTCACTTTTCAGGGTTCAGATGACGAAGAAGAAGGGCAGAAAGTGCCGCCACCCCCAGAGACACCCATGCCGCCGCCTCTGCCCCCGACTCCAGACCAGGTCATTGTTCGGAAGGACTATGACCCCAAAGGTAGTGTCTGCTCTCCTGCTCTCATGTGTTCCTCAGACCTGTCTGTTTCTAGTATGGCTCGAGGTGGCTTGTTGAAGGCATTGATAGCCCTCTGTCTCAGGCCTTGCAGTGGGGAACAGGACATAGTCATCTCTGGTGCCCTGATAACTTGCACAACTCCAGATACAATGTGGCACTGAATAGATGTGTATCTTGAATGAATGATGCACAAATGAAACACCACTTAACCCAGCCTGTCACCCAGTGTTCTCACTCAAGCATCTCTGTTTCCTTTTAGCTTCTAAACCCCTGCCTCCAGCCCCTGCTCCAGATGAGTATCTTGTGTCCCCCATCACGGGGGAGAAGATCCCTGCCAGCAAAATGCAGGAACACATGCGCATTGGGCTTCTCGACCCCCGCTGGCTAGAGCAGCGAGATCGCTCCATCCGTGAGAAGCAGAGCGATGATGAGGTGTACGCTCCAGGTGAGGCGGGGGTTCCACCACCCAGTCCACACCCCTTCTCTGACTCAGCCCTGACTCACTTTGGCCCATGGGAATCTCTAAACTACAGTTAACTTGCTTTACGCAAACATAGAAAGCAGCAATTGAGGTCAACAAAAGCTTTTGAGGATAAGTACAGCCTATAGGGCTACAAAAGAACTCCCGATTTTCCAGAATGATTCTATAGACTCCTTCAAAGGTAGGCTCCTGATGAGGATGGCATGTGCCCATTGACATCACAGAGCCAGATCTGACTATAGCTGGGAGAGGTGCTCCAACAAGCACCTGGAAATGAAACATGACACAGTGGTCCTGTGACTGCTGTGTGAGAAGCAGCCGATAGGGAGGAAACTGTCATAGAGATAGGAGACCAGACTTTAGGTCCTGACTCTGCTGCTTGCTGCTCACGTGAGCCTGTCTTCTCAGTTGCCTTTCATAAGTTAAGGAGTCGGACAGGCCCTGGTTTACAGGCTTATTTAGTACTGATTGGGCAGCTTTCCTTGGGCTCGGAAGATAAGCATGCTGGGTTGGGATTCAGAATTAGCCTTGTCCCATGGGACTAGCCTCCTCCACCCTGCACCAGGAGAACTGCTGCCTTGTTGGAAGGACACCTGGTTTAGAGTCCCTCTGTTCCCTGTTTCCACTCTGACTGTATCCAGGTCTGGATATTGAGAGTAGCTTGAAGCAGTTGGCCGAGCGGCGTACTGATATCTTCGGTGTAGAGGAAACAGCCATTGGTAAGAAGATTGGCGAGGAGGAGATCCAGAAGCCAGAAGAAAAGGTGCAGTTTGGATATACACTAGTGCCTTCCCTACCCTCAGACTCCCACATTGGGCTCAGTTCTAGGAGCCCTAACAAGCTGTGGCTTTGCTTTCCCTTTCAGGTGACCTGGGATGGTCACTCAGGCAGCATGGCTCGAACCCAGCAGGCTGCCCAGGCCAATATCACCCTCCAGGAGCAGATCGAGGCCATCCACAAGGCCAAGGGCCTGGTGCCAGAAGATGATACGAAAGAGAAGATTGGCCCCAGCAAGCCCAATGAAATCCCCCAGCAGCCACCACCTCCGTCTTCAGCCACCAATATACCCAGCTCGGCCCCACCCATCACCTCAGTGCCCCGGCCACCGACAGTAAGCCAACAGCCACCTTGTCACTGATCTCTTAGAGCTTGGCCCTTGGGGTTGGACACTAGTGCCTGAGAAGCGCAACTGCTTTGTAGCAGGGCCCAAGTGCTGAGTGGGTCAAATAGAAAGAACCTTTAATTGAAAGAACCTCTAGCTTGACCCTCTGTCTGTGTGAGAGGGTTGGAGTAGGAAGGGAGGCAAGTGGTAGATGTGTAAAGCCGGCTTGGGGAAGAGAAGAGCTACAGGGCTTAATGGGTCTTTGAGGACTGCTGGCTCATCTCCAGGAAGCTAAGTCAAGGTCAGCCTCTTTAGTGGCTTTCTCAGTATCTGCCATGAGCAGCTGGTTGAGTCCCAAGTGGAAAGAGTGTCACCCTGGGCAAAGTTCCTGTCAGAGCCTGGGGTGAAGCTGCAATCTCAACCCCAGGGGGCTGAGCTGGAACTGTCTAGCCCCATCCTTTAAAAAAAAATTTTTTTTTAATTTATTTTTTTGGCGGGGGGAAAAAGAGAGGGAGAGAAAGATCGATGTGCAAGAGAAGCATTGGTTGCTTCTCACATGCCCCCAGCCAGGGACCTGGCCCGCAACCCTGGCATGTGCCCTGACTGGAATCAAACCAGTGACCTTTTGATTTACGGGACAACACCCAACCCACTGAGCCACACCAGTCAGGACCAGCCCCATCCTCAAAGCCTACAGGTGACCAGTTGCCAGCTGTGTGAGTCCAGCCTTGGCTTCCTATGACCTATGGGTCCCTTCTCTCCTACAGATGCCACCTCCTGTCCGGACCACAGTGGTGTCTGCAGTACCCGTTATGCCCCGGCCCCCTATGGCGTCAGTGGTCCGACTGCCCCCAGGCTCGGTGATTGCTCCCATGCCGCCTATCATCCATGCACCCAGGATCAATGTGGTGCCAATGCCTCCTTCAGCCCCTCCTATTATGGCACCCCGCCCACCCCCCATGATTGTACCAACAGGTTAGTGTCTCTCATGCTGTCCTCACGGGCCAAGCGCTGTGAGCAGTGCAGTGGCTGATGGTAGTGCTAGCTGTTCCAGCTGGGGACCTAGCCCAAAGGAGAGCCATGGCTTCCCCATGTGAGAGATCCCCGAGCTAGGAGACGGGGAGCCGTGGCTCTTGGAGGAGGTAGGCTGATTTGGCAGAGCTGGGATTTGTGCAGCCAGAGGAGTCAGGCGCTAGGCAGGTGCAGAGGCAGTGCTTACTGTCAGCAGGCACCCACCCCACCCATCAGTCCTGCCCCTCTCCCAGTCCCCTGCTGCCCATCTTCGGCAGCCTCCCAGGTCCCCTTGCCAGGGAACTGACTGGCTGCCCAACTCAGCAAGGAGTGGCCCTTCACATCTGTGAGTGGGAGAAACAGTAAACCTTTGCAATCCCCCCTTTCACTTCTCACCAGCCCTTAGTCCTGGGCCCCTTCCCCCGCTCACACAGCTGCTTATTCCTGTCCTTCCAGCCTTTGTGCCCGCTCCGCCTGTGGCACCTGTCCCAGCTCCAGCCCCAATGCCCCCTGTCCACCCTCCGCCTCCTATGGAAGATGAACCTGCTTCCAAGAAACTGAAGACGGAGGATAGCCTCATGCCCGAGGAGGAGTTCCTTCGCAGAAACAAAGTACGTGATCCCAGGGTGCTACCTGTGGCCTGCAGCATGTGTGGCTGGGGTGTCCAGTCCCGCCTCAAACACTCCCTGGCCTGCCCTGTTCTGTTCCCACAGTTTTGGCTTCCAGGACCTAGATCAGCCAATGGAGGCCTATGCGGGCTTCTGAGCATACACTTGATGCAGTGTCAGCAGTCAGAGGAGCAGACAGCAGTGGAGATCCCCAGTGGGAACTGTTGTTGTAGAGGCCACCAGGGAGACCTGGCTGTACAGGCAGCAGGACTTGAGTGTGAAAGGGACCCTAGACCCTAGTGCTGCAACTTTCAACCTTTTTCATCTCATGACATACATAAACTAATTACTAAAATTCTTCACACCAAAAAGTATGTATTTTTTTTGCCAGTCTGACCAAAAAAAAAAAAAAAATAGGTTTAATTTTGATTCATTTACACCAGGCAGCTGCTGTTCTGTTAGCTGCTGTCATTTTTTTTATTTGACAGTCAAGGAAGAGAGGTCAGTGCGACTGGCTAGGTAGTCAGAAATTGCATGTTTAAAAAATTGTTTTGGCACGCTGGTTGAAAATTGCTGCCCTAGAGGAAATCCTGGGTGCAGCTCTTTGCGGCCTTCTGTTTAGGAGCCATACCTGCCTTTGTGGGGAATCCTGCGGGGGTTCTAGAAATAAGGGGAAGTGAGAATCTTGGCACTGCCAGTCCCTAGGGAAGCCGTTAGGCGCCAGTGATGAGGCAGGAACAGTCCTTGCCTCGCTCTCCCAATGCATTCGACAGAATCTTTTTTTCTTCTCATTTTTTTTTTTCTGATAGCGTTTCCCATCTCTTCAGTACTCAAGTGCCAGGGTAGAGCTACACATTATATGGGCACTTGTCCATTTAGTGCTCACAATAATATTGTACCATGCCATGGTTGTGATCAGCTACCTTATAGACATGGTATTGAGGCTCAAAGAGACCTGGTTAGCAGGGAAGCTGAGAACCCAGGTGTTCTGATTTCACTATTCATACTCTTTTTTCTCCTGTGGTAATTCTTGGGATTTGCAGAGCATTTTCATGTCACTTCTTCAGCTGCAGACACACCAGGAGGCAGGGTAGAGATCATTTGAAAGAGGAAAAACCAAATCTTGTGCTGTGTCACAAGCTACATCAGTAGTGAACAAGGGACCAGAGCCAGGAGCCCAGATGGAGAGGTGACATTGTCTAGACTGGCGCAGGAATAGGAGAGCATAGTTCCTGATTGGCCCAGGGATCCCAGGCATAGTGACCACCTCTTATTTTGCAGGGTCCAGTGTCCATCAAAGTCCAGGTGCCCAACATGCAGGATAAGACGGAATGGAAACTGAATGGACAGGTGCTAGTCTTCACCCTCCCACTCACAGACCAGGTATGAGTTGCTGCAGGGGAACCAAGGGGGCAGGGGGCAGCTTTTTTAAGCTTACCTTAGCAAGAGGGTAAATAATTTCTCCTTGGTCCTACAGGTCTCCGTTATCAAGGTAAAGATTCACGAAGCCACAGGCATGCCTGCAGGGAAACAGAAGCTGCAGTATGAGGTGAGTCAGGTGTCTGGTCCTGCCTCTTGGGTCCAAACGCCTCTGCTGTCCCACAACGTGGTCCTCAGTGGAACCAGAGGAGTGGGAAGACACCTGGATGTGGCCATCTGAGTTCATCTTAGAAGTGATGATGCTGGCTGAAAGTGCTGGGGCAGGTTATCTTGACAGAGTGAGGCTCTGGAAAAGTCATAGTACAGTATTGTGTGGGTTCCAAAATACTCTCTGCCTCAGTGACGAGGGTGGACTGTGGGGACAAGTATAAGGCGTGCTCTGGTGGGCTCCTGGTCTAGTGGTAGAGCCATCCCAGCCAGTGTGGTCTCGAGTAGTCTGGCTTTGTGCATGGACACAGAGGTGATAGTTCAGTTCAGCCAGGTGCCCATCAGGTTTCACAGGGCTGCTATATTCTCCCACTTTGGACTTTGACAAATCCCTACTCTGGGCCTCAGTTTTCTGCCTTGTAAATGAGGCTATTGGACTAGCTGAGCTCTAAAGGTCTTGAGATTTAAAATTCTGTGGGATTGCTCAGGGCCAGCTTCTTGGAGCATTGACAAAAGGGAAGAGCTTTGCTCGGTAGGAAGGAAGGAAAAGCAAAGCATTCTGGGAGAAACCAGAGACCTTCAATCCTGCCCTGTGCCTGCACCACACTGACCTCCCCATGCCCCTAGCCTTCCTTCAAGCCTTTGTTCACTAAGTTCAGAGTGAACGGATGTTGGGATTGAGGCTGTGCAATGTGCTGAAGGCCAAGTTGTTCCATGCTAAAACATACTATCTTGTTTTCCAGGGCATTTTCATCAAGGATTCCAACTCACTGGCTTACTACAACATGGCCAATGGTGCCGTTATCCACCTGGCCCTCAAGGAAAGAGGCGGGAGGAAGAAGTAGAAGAGAGGAACCTGCTGTCAGGTCCCAGCCACTGCCGTTTTGCCTCTCCTCTCCCTACCCCCTGTCCCAGACCCAGACCCAGGAAAATCCTGCCTTGTACATTAGTTTCCCTCTTAGTTTGGAAATTCAAATTATCCTGCAGTTTCCTTTCCCTACCTGCTTCCCACATTAGTTAGGAGAGGGCTTCCTACACCACTCTCCTCCCTGGTGGTCTCTGGAATTCCTTTATGTTCAAGTCTTGATTTGAAGGGATTCATTTCTTCCAGCAGCCCATTAGGAAATGTGAACCTATGGATGTTCTGCTGGATAGTGTCATAGTGCTGATTGGCACTTGCCTGATAGAATATGCTTGTTATCATCATCAGTCATTTTGTATCTTGCCACAGGCTATATAATAAATCTCTTAGACCCCTCTTAGACCCTTCTTGTGAAATCAATGTCATAAGACTTCTCTCTTGGCCACCTGTACCCTGTCCACACTCGAAGCAGGGGGAGCATGTCATGAAGCCTTGTGGCTCTTCTGCTCTGAGGATTGCTGGGCTTTTAACTAACTTATGGACACCATCAAGTCTTTCATGAATCTTTCCTGAAAAGATATATATTTACTGTCCTTTTAAAACTTTTGGACTCTAAAGGCATAGCCCTATGTATTTAACAGACTAATACAGGTGTCTTCAACACACCAGGACCACAGAAGAACAAGGATGGGTGAGATGCAGTTCCTGGGTCACTGAGCAGGAGTGAGACACAGGCAAGTGAGGGAAGCGGTTTCCTGCAGGCCTGAAATCACCCATAACTGCATTGGCTCATTGACCTTGGGCAGGTGGCTTAGCCTGAGTGAGCACAGGGACATGATGAGTTTTTTGTTCTTTTAAAAATTATTTTTAGCCCTGACCAATGTGGCTCAGTTGATTGGGCATCATCCTGCAAATCAAAAGGTTGCCAGTTTGATTCCCAGTCAGGGCATATACCTAGGTTGCCGGTTCATGTCCTCTCCAGGGCGAGTATAGGAGGCAACCGATCGATGTGTCTCTCCCTCTCTTTCTCCCTCCCTTCCCCTCTCTCTAAAAACAAAATCTTTTTAAAAATATATTTATTTTAAAAATACATAGTTGTACTGAAGCCATGACTATTCTAAGGACTATAAAGTTTAACCAGTTTACCTCTTACTGTCTTAAGCACTTCATCATTTTTTATCCATTTTAATTCATATAATCCTGCTATATTTGTTTTTGTAAAATAGCACCTATTTATTAGCTCGCAGTCTGTAAGAAGTCCAGACATGGCATGAATGGGTTGTCTGTTTTGGGTCTCACAAGGCTGAAGACAAGATATTGGCTGGGCTGCATTCCCCCTCAAGGCTATGTGGAAGAATGTGCCCCAAACTCACTTTTTTTCCTGGCTGAATTCAGGTCCTTCTGGTTGTAGTACCAAGATCCCTGTTCCTCTGCTATCTGTCAGCCAGGGGGGACTCTCAGCTTTGAGGCTACCTGCATTTCTTGGGACTTGGCCCTCTACGTCTTCAAAGTCAGCAATGGCATATTGAGTCCTCATGTTCAGAATCTCTCTGTTTTCTGAGTATGCCTGTTTTTAACCCTTGAGTAAACAGACATGTCATATACCCACAGTCACACAATAATACGGTGAAAAGAAACTGTGCAAAACACTTGTCTCAGTCCTAGCCTCCTATTAAGGGCCAGACACACAAGCTGGTATTTTTGGAATTGTGCCGTCACAGGGAGGCACGTGCTGCTATAAAGTGTTCTGAGGGAGGAAGGTGAAAGCCTATTGATAACTGTTGCCTGGTTTTAAATCTAAAGTTTATTTTATTCTGAATGTCTCAAGTGTATTTTTCCATAGAGTTCCCAATGCCTTTTCTTTGCAGTCCCTCCATTTAGTCTTCCTAGCTGCCCCACGAGGTCATCTCCAGAGCTCAGAGGCGTGAGGCCATTCCCAAGGTCATGGAACCAGCATTTTAGTCAACATCCTACCCTACTCCAGCCTCCACTAAGGGCAGAGCTCCCAACTTCACACCTGGGAAGCTCAAATGGCCCTTCTACAGTGCCAGTTGTATGGCTCCATTACAAACTGCTGGATCAAGTTTTTTCCTTGATCTATGGGATGTTATTCTTCACCCTTTTTGACATTCGCCTCCTGTTTGGTTGCTGGAAGTTTTCTGCAGGGGGCCAGGTTGAAATTTGGCTTTCTGAAGCGGGCTCCAGGGTTTGGGTGCCTAAAATGAGTCTACTACTAGTTGCTTCTCCATGGCTGGCCAACAGCAAAAATTGTGAACACCACCTGGGTCTCATCCCAAGAGGGAAGGGATCAGGAGTCCTTGGGGAGTCCCATACCCCAGGCCCTTCTTCCTGGAATTGGCTTTGGCGATGGAGAGGCCACTCTCTTCCATAGATGGGCAGATCCCACAGGCCCTCTTCTGTGACCGAGGCTGTGACTGGAGGTCAGGAATGCTGCTGGGTGGAATGGGAATGAATGGAACCTTTGAGCTGCCCCCTGGGGCCCAAACCCAGTTTCCTGGAGCTTCTGAATGAACGTATGTCCTGGATCAGTTGCAGAAGGCCCATTGACTACAGGCAGCCTTGTGACTGTCCAAGGCCACAGGCCCAGCACTCTGCATTTCTCGTTAAGGGCCTGTAGCATGCAGGCAGCTCCTTCCTTGCACAGCTTGTCTGATTCTCATCACCATCCTCTGATTATTATCTGCACCATTGTTTAGATGAGCTGTGGATCCAAGGTCATGGAGCCAGTGAGTGCTCTGAAGGCCAAAGAAGCTCTTGCATTCCTGGTGACTACACTGTCCCCACTGATTCACCAGACTGGACTATGAATTGGAGACAAATGTTCCTGGTGTGGCACTGCTGGGAAAATTGGGCACAACTTGATGCTTTCAGAGTCACCATAATTTTAAAGACTTGCTCAAAGAGGACTCAAAGAGCAGTAGACATTAAGGAATTCCATTTTCAATTGCCCCAGCTGCTTGAAATGAGCACTGTCCCATAGTCCAGAGAAGGCCACTAATGATTAGACCCATTTCACTTTTTAAAATTATAGATTGCATTAGAGAATATATAAAGGTTATGTTAGGTTTTGTTAGGATGAATACTTGAAATATGTGGTGTACTGTAATTATAGCAGTCCTTATATGTAATACTTCATTTATCCTTATAATTCAAAAATAAAAAAAAAATACAATATAGCTCATGTTTAAGAGTACATATAACTAACCCTGATTGGTGTGGCTGAGTTCGTTGGGCATCGTCCAGCAAAGGCAAAAGTTTGCCAGTTTGATTCCTGGTCAGAGCATATGTGTAGGTTGTGAGTTCAGTCCCCAGTCCTGATGGGTACGAGAGGCAACCGATCGTTTCCCTCTTTCTCCATCTCTTACCCTGTCTCAAATAAATATTTTTAAAAGGAGTACATTGCTTCTCGGCCTTTTGGCTAAGATAAAGTGTAGTATGTGTTCTTACCAGTTTAAAAAGAGTACACACAGTAGTCTATAAATTTTTGTTTGCTTTTTAAAAACAAAGATGTAAGGTCTTGAGGTTAAGATTATTAATGCTACCTGATTTGGGAATTTGCTCTTAATTATCCTACACTGTTATATTTAAAAAGTAATTCTAGGTACCCCTGAGCCATACAATTCGAGAACAAGATAAATTACTATTCCTTATCCTATCATTAAAAAAGGTATTGTTCTAAACTGAATTAAATTAAGCCAGTCAGTGTTCCCTACCTGTGAGCTGTTGTGATTAGATTAGTGATAGGCATGTGTTGTATAAACAGATGGTATATAAAGGAATGCATTCTCCTCACCATTGAGCAGAAGCTATCAGAAGAGTCATCCATCAGAGTGTGGATGTGTGGAGGAAGTGAGCCCGGAGCTGCTGCCATGGGGGTACTGGGAGTGGGAGGGTGTCAAGCTTCCAGGTGAAGAAACCACAGGAAGAAAAAGAAAAAAAAAAAAAAAGAGGAAGTTGAAGCTAATAGCTTTGGCAACAACCTCTGGATCAAACTGTTCCTGAAGCTTCTATACCTTTGGATTTTAAATGTATGGCACCCACTAAATGTAGTTTTGTGTTAAGCCCATTTCAGTTGGGTTCTCTGCCACTTGACCAAAAGGTTAACTTATCCTCCATGTAGGGATAAAGAAGCTTTGTAGTTTACCTACTCATCAAAGGCTTTTGGGCACCAAGACTACCTTCTGAACCACTGGTGTTACTACGAATAAAGACTGTGTCATCTGGATAGCTGACAGATTTCCTGAGCATATGCAAGCTCTATATGCCAAGAGGGGACTACATAGGAGCCTGTGTGAGCACCTCAGGCTAACCTTTCAGGAATGACCCCACTAGGATGAGACTCCAGGTTATCAAAATATTCCCGTAGCCCTGGTCAAACGTCTCATCCTCAAAAGAACTCCTACAACAGTCTGTCAGGATGTTTCACAGCATTGCTTGTTCATGTTCTCCCTCTTCCCTTGAAATATAAACTCTCATTGAGCCAGGACTTCATTTCTTTTGTTCACTAGAGTAATATCAAGTAAGTTAAAGAGCCCTGGAGTTTGAAGTAAACAAACAACACTTACATTTAGTGTCTACTGTGTGCTGGAGGCTTCGGAGACATAGCTGGCTGACTTCAAGTAATTATTGACATTCCTATTTTTCAGAAAAAAAAACACGTTTTGAGAAGTTAAACAATTTTGCACAAGAACATCCAGTTACTGAGAGGTCATAGCCGTGAAACAGACACCCAAGCCATGTGCCATTGGTTAATTAGGTAAACTTCCCTGCTGCAGCCATAGGGTGTGATGGGAAACACACAAGACAATAATGAATTTGCACATGCTTTGCAAACTACAAATGCCACCACTCCTGGCTTCCATTTACTGGGTATCTCCATGTGCCAGATGCTTAGCTCACTGAAGTCTCAGAACAACTCTCCCAAGGAGGTGTTTTTCCAGTATTTCCGTTTTGCAGATGAGGAAATGGGCTCAAAGGGAAGAGATTTGCTCAAGGTCACAGAGTGACAGAGCAGAGATTTGAATCCTGAGTGGTCATATGCATGAAAATTACAAGCTGGGGCATAAAGGCCTTTACCTGAGAAACATCTATCAAGTCTCCCAAAGATGGACAAACTGGTCCTTCTAACCTACCCCTCACCCCACCCCAAATACCCCTTGGGTGAACATCCATCATTGTACTTTTCAGAACTCGAAGTGTTTGGGATATGATCCTAGGACCAGAATTATGAAGTCAAAAGGTAGTAGATACTTTGCCAGGCTTGGGGCTTACTATCTGCTCCAGGTGTATCTGGCTCCTCTCTCCCTTTCCTGGGGATAGGCCCATATCCCAATGTGAGGCCCACTCTCCCCATCTTGGGAGCTGGGACTAAGAGTCCACCACTCTGCCTGGAGCCACTGGAGAAAAGGAAAATTCTCTCAGACTGAGAATGTAAGACCAAAATAGCCTGTGCCTACTCCCATGTCTGCTATTGCCCTGTTTATGAAAAACCAGAAGCGTATGGAATGTGAAGACTGCACAGCAAAGTCTTCAAGAATGTTTGGACCACGTGGCATCAAGGGAATAAACAGGGAAATCACTGAAGTCTTAAGGACCTGTCCCCGCTTAGAGCTTGCTTTGAGCCCCTTAGCAGCCTGCCTGACCCAGGCTCTGCAGCTCAGGTCTGGCTCGCTCAGTCCCTTCCTGTCTCTGGGCCGGTCTCCCTTACAGGTCTACAGCAGAGTGTCAGATGACAACACGGTACTGGATTTAAGTGAGGAGCTATCATTATGGCTCCAAGTGTTGAAAATCTCTGGGGTCAGAAGTAGGCTGCTGGGAGCTAAGTCTATGTAGATGCGATTGGCTCATGCCTCCCCATATGAGCTTTTGGTAAGAGCTAGGTTCAAATCCTGGCTCTGCCACAAGCTAGTTTTGGACCCTAGGCAGCTGACTTCACTTCCCTGCACCTCAGTTTTCTTAACTGTAAAATAATAGTATCTACCTTGTTGCTAAAAGATTACAAGCGGTGGGGCCAATTTGGAAAACAGCTTGCCAGCTTCTCAAAAGGTTGGACAGTGACAGCTAATGGGTAGGAATTTCTTTTTGGAGTGATGAAAATGTTTTAAAATTAGGTTATGGTGATGGTTGTACAACTCTATAAATAGGCTTAAAACCATTGAATTATATACTTTAAACGGGTGCTTTTTACTGTATGTT